TTTCACATATTTCCCTGTTTCGAGCCTGAAATTGAAACAATTATCAAGCTGTAAAACCCTGGCACGGGTCTTCAAGAAACACTTTTTACTGTAATTGAGTACTACTACAGCACATCAATCAAACGCAAGAGACCTCCAAATAGACCTATCGCACACAGCGCCCCAAAAAAAGAAATTGACAAACTAGACCCTAAATAACCCCCAAACCAATGCAGATAAACCCCAAGTTTAACCCTAAAACAACCCTAAATGACCCCTGAACTAACCTTAAATAAACCACCTTTGGGCGAAGCTCCACTCAGGTCATTGGCATGTGGCTCTCGCACCTTGACAGCCACTTTTTTTGGGGGGGATGCCGCGAAGCCACGGCGCAGCGCGGAAAATGTTTCTTTGGTCGAAGGACATTTTACAAGGTGGTGCCCCAGTTCGTTAGCTAAGTTGGTTTATAACTCCCATAACTATGGTTTATGGCAGATACAACTATAGTGAATGGGACTTATAAACCAACTTATAATAACTGGGGGGCACCATCCTGTAGACTTTTGGTCCAAGAATGTAAGACACCCAGTAGTAAACCATCCCAAAAATAAGACATGGGTGGTATAAACATGTATAAACCATCCCGGAATGAGGCATAAAAAATAGCCCCGGCCTTGCTCAAAAGCCTCAGCTCTAGGCCCTGGAACGCAAATCTGCCCTGTATTGGATGCCGCTGATGCTTCGTGCCATGATGATGTCCCTGATCAACAATCCCTAAACTTGCTTAGATAAGGAGTTGATTAGAAAAGGTTAGGGGTTCACCCCAAAAGAGTGGCATTCAAATGGTTACCGCATGATATTACAACAGTATCCTTTCAATCGAACCATGAAGGGGATTGCCATTTGGTCATGTCGCATGGGATGCATGTAGTGTGGTCATCCGACCATCATGAATGGGATTCCTTACAATGGGTAAGTTAACTCCTATGAAAATGGATGCATGACCATCCCCCAATATAAGATGGATAATCTACCTTAGTTTCGACCATGGCAGGCGGTTAATATTGTTTAATCTCAGAGGGTATGGATGTTTCTTCTCCTTGGATAGCAATTGAAGGCTTGCTTTTTGGGGTTCCATGGCAGCTGTGAGCATCAATGAACACGGTTGTACTGCACTGAGAAGCTCTTACCGTTGCGAGGCTTTCTTGGGCATGTCCAAAAACCATCAAAAACATGGCTTTGGCATGGCTTTGGCATGGCTTTGGCAATGGATGGAACATGTCCGCAGTTTGATTGTGATCCCCTACTGGGTGTTGGTAGTGATCCCCTACTGATGGTGTTGGTAGTGATCCCCTACTGGGTGATGTTTGGAACAGCTCACGATCCCAGCAATCCCGAGCCAGGAGAGCAAGTTGAAAGGTGGTGAATTGCTCGGGATCCTTGAGATTTCCAGTTTTGTGGATGACCGGAAAATCCACCGGAAACCTCTACACTTGACAGTTCATGGTGAAAAACACGGTTTTTCAGGTTTTCTGTGGATTTTCCTGAAATCAATTCTTAGATGATCAATGTTGAAAGAGGAAATTAGAAGTGATTTTGCTGATTTCGATTCACAGCCACTCTGGCAAATAACAAGTACCCTCAGAGTCCGGTCAGACTGGTCCATCAACCATCAACACAGGTTGATGCACACCTTGTTGCAACATTATTAGTAGACGCGCAAGGTCTTTTGTTTTCTTCTGACGGGTTCACACGATCCATGATTGATTCGTGATGCTGATTTTTACTACTACTACTACTACTACCACCACTACTACCACTACTACCACTACTACCACTACTACCACTACTACCACTACCACCACTACCACCACTACTACCACTACTACCACTACTACCACTACCACCACTACCACCACTACCACCACTACCACTACTACCACTACTATCACTACTACCACTACTACCACTACTACCACTACTACCACTACTACCACTACTACCACTACTACCACTACTACCACTACTACCACTACTACCACTACTACCACTACTACCACTACTACCACTACTACCACTACTACCACTACTACCACTAGTTGTTTTTTATGCGTTATTATGTTGCTTTATTTCGTATATTAAATATTGTTGATTATTGGTTCTTATGATGTTTTCTTTTTTCACGATTTTTGTTTTTTCTTCGTAATTATAGTAATCCATATAATTATTCTGATTAGTAGTTAGTAGTAGCAGCATATATATATATATTTATATTCATGGAGGTTTCCTGAAATTTGGGTACCCGCAAATCATCAATTTCATCGCCTCAGCGCCTGACGAAAAACCTCAGGAGTCGCGACTTTCGGAGCCGAGTGGCTAAACTCATGGTGCGGCGGCCGAAAAGGGCCTTTTTGGCTTTGTCCTTTTGAGAAAAGGTGATTTGAAAAGGTTTCCTACAATGGTGGTACCCTATGGTAAACTAACATAACTATGGAAAATCACCATTTTCAATGGGAAAATCCACTATAAATGGCCATTTTCAATAGCTATGTTAGATTACCAGAGGGTACCCCAAGACCATGGGTTTCCATACTAGGTCGTCATGGTCATCCATGACGACTGGATGATTTGGGATAATGATGCGGCCGGCTTTTTAGGAAACCCCCATTTATTTTGAACGCACAATTTTCTAAGCCATCAAATTTAGAATAAGTTGGGAGTCCCATATAATTTTGCAATATTTTGCATACAAAGCCACATAAACCCAAGAATGAACATCAAATGCTAGGATGATGGAATTGTCGTGTGATGAGAATGGATTTTAGCTTCGACTTGAAGAAAACATTGATATCCCCTATTTGTGATCATTTGCCATGTCTGGAGGCCAGATCACACTGATCTGAGGTGTCTGCAGAAGAGCTGACCATGGTGAGCACTTGGGAAATGGAGCAGGAGGGGCCAGGTGCTCAATCAACAGTTCCACATGGCTTTCTCTGAAGATAAGGTAGCTCTAATTCCAGTACATCCAATTTTGAGATTTCAGAAAGACCCAAACATCATTGGGTGGACTATATATCCGTGTATATATAATATTTATCCGATTACCATTTATTCCAACATATTCCTATTATACCACACTACAATCCAAAAAAAAAAACAACAAGTCACTTGGTCGTGGGGTCGCCCCTGCTCACCAAGGAAGCTTAGTGCTGCCCAGGCTGGTGGATCGATTGAAGTCATGAAGAATCCATTAAACATGTGTGGGTTTCCAGAAATGGTGGTACCCCAAAATGGATTGTTTACAATGGAAATCTCTATTAAAATCGATGATTCAGGGGTACCCCATTTTAGAACCCCCCCATCTATTGAAATCATTTCAAATCTATATGAGAAATCACAATGATGTTGAAGTTTAAGGGTTGGTGTCTCCCGTCTTTAGATATCTTTAGGACATGCACATTTGATGACTGCAAAAGTAGAGATGCAGTGCTTGCCTTGACAAGAAAGAGCATGGCAAGAACCGTAATTTGTTGGTGTGAGCCTGTGACTCTGTTTTCGCGTTGACTTGGCTCAACAGAAATTAAGTCATAGCAGTCACAGAATCAGAGACCACGTTTAACTCATTTGAGCTCAGAGTTTCTTCAAATCATGAGTCGTTTCGTTTGGAAAGCCTGGTGAACAACCGAGCCGAACTCCTTCTGAGAGATCTTGGAATGTCAGGGGCCAATTCTCAAACAGCACCCCTAGCCTTTTGGAGCGCCTTTTGATACAGCAGCTGTGTTTGCCGCACAGCTTTTCCAAGCAACTATTTTGAATCACTTTTGAATACAAGCCACGCGCGTGGCTTGTGTGATCACGTTTCCGCGTTCCGACCTCAGTGTCTTTTGAACGACTGGAGTTTGGATTGACCATTTTATACCATTTTGGGTATAAACCAACCTTTATGACATATGCATACATATGCTAAGAATTGATAAGATATGTTATATGCTTGATAGATATACTAACAAAATATGTTTGAACATCAAGTAGTTGTGAATTGTTACAATATGACACAATCCGAGGTGCTGTATTTTACTCAGATTTGATGTGAATTAGTCTGACAACAAATCATGAAAAATATATACTGTAATCATGTATGTACTATAAGTCAACGTATTACAGTATGATGAGATATAATGCGGGAATTTAGTTTACATATCATACTAACATGGGACGACGCATATTATGATAATTTATGATATAATGTTTTTCCGCATGCTATAATGTCATGCAATATAATGCAATATAATGGTACATCAACAAAACATATGATATTATATATTATAATCTGATCTATATGGATATATTCTGATACATGGTACATTGTATTTGAAAGATAAGGGGTGAACTATACCTTAGCTTTCATCATGTAAAGACACCCTTCCCCTCCTAGGGTCATTGTCATAATGTCATATGTACTTTTGGCTCAAGATGAGAAAACAAGGCCGCAGCCGCTGCCCTCTCGGTAAGCCGCGGTTGTTTAGTGTGTGTTTTCTTTTGGGGTGGTTGTGGTTTTTCAATTCATTTTTTTTACACTAATACATGACATGTCATATATTATATACTCTAGTATAATGTTAATGTGAACAATTAACTTTATAAGAAAAACTAGTGTTGTATATTGTATATATATATATATATTTATATTTACATATATTTACATATGTTGTACGTATATATATATATGTGTGTTTCAATTTCTAGGATGCAAAATGTTCAATGACATAAACTAAAATACTTTACTTTACATTGCCACAATGTAACATGTGCTGATCCGATTTCACGTATTGACACATAGTGCAGTACAATGCATTTCTGATATTTTGAATCATGAAGCGAATCTGAAGTATATTATGATTCTATGTATATGATATATGTATTTATCATATATGTTTCCCTGTGTGCATTTCCAATATATATGTTTTGCTGCTGTTTTGTCGTTGTTTTTCCGCCTTTTTTGGCCCGTTTTCATCAAGGCTATGGCGTTATACCAGCCGGGTCAAGGACTAAATCCCGCAGCCATCGCCCGCCTTCGTGGTCGCAAGGCAGCGCGACCGGACAGGGCCAAAAATGGATTGATAATTCCACCAATTTCTTGTGTTTAGCACGCGTGTTGAACTTGGAAATATTGACCATCTATCACATATATCATATATCTATATATGATTATATATGTATATTGTTAATAATCTAGGAACCCATCTATCTACGATTGAATTGTTGAGGTCACTGTAAGGTGTGTGTTTTTTTGTCACCATATATCATTAATTTGCCATTTGAACATTCACCATTCACACCGGCATCAAAAGTCTCGTCGAACACCAATATTTCAACCCAGAGAGGTGGCCACAGACAGGTTGAATCCGCACGAGGAAACACTCTGGTAGCATTTCAGCACAAAAACATGTTCCACAATGATGGGTCAAAAATAATGGCAGGACGTCAACAAAGTCTTCAACGACTTGCCAGCAGAGGACGAATGGAGAGAATGCCAACCAGAGATACGCTGGGAGTCCAATCAGTTTGAAGTGTCTTTCTCAAATATAATTGTTTGTTAAAGGATGTTTTAAAAAAAAAACTGGAATTATTACCAGAATTAGTTGTTCTATCAACAGTTTATAATTTGTTCGGGGGTCATATTACTCTTTATATACTAGGGCGCTGGGGATTATCATCACAAACTGGGAATTCCGTTCTAAACCAACCAGATTCCCATCGTTTGCTGCCAGGACTACTCTAAGCAATGGGATAGTCTCTTGGGCCAGGGCGCCAAAAAGAAGTTGCGCTGCTCGCACTGTACTAGGCACGCTTCGGTTGCAAGTGGAATGGCAGAACTGGAAGCTGGTGTTCGCTTGAAATATTAGGAGGTATATAACCAACAAGAATGGGGATGCAAGAGGATATAATACAGGATATCACCAGTTTGAATCAACTTGATATGATTTTGGGTGCTTCAATTTCGCCCAATTTCGACAGGAAAAATGATGATCAACGACATTTAGGGGTGTGCGCATGCCGTATTGTCAGACCAAACCATATGGGTTATTTCACTTGAGGTCATGGTTGTTTCATGATCGAGTCTTGATCGGTAGCCACAGCACATTTCCAGGCCCCTCAAGGCCGAAGATTCTTCAGCGAGGCACAATAGGAACCATCCGAAAAAACGGGCGAATGAAGAAAAATATGAGATATGAAAGGGATTGAAAGGGGGCAAAAATTGCCAGGTATATCAGTATCGCTGGTTGGTGTTTTTTTTTTGTGTACATATATATATATATATTTCAATGATGTTTCTCATTGTTTCCATATTTGGGACGATGATCAGCTTATGGGACACTGCCTGGACGCAGAGAAAACACAGGGTGAATGGAGAGTTTTCCAGGGAGAAAACCAGAATTCACTTCGTTCAGGGCACAGACTCTGGCAGAATATGTGTGTATATAGAATATTATAGAATTATATAAAGTGAATCCCTTTCGTTTGGATGTGTTGAGTTTTGAGTACTGATAGCGCAGTATGGATGCACCGTTTCACACTCTTCACACCAGGACTGGCAGTAGTCATATGGTAAAGAATCCTTCTTTGAGTGTCTCTTGCATCTTGGCTGGGTGGTTTCACATCATATTTTCTAACCATAATCTGGAATGAATTCTTGGATTGGTTTTAACCAGCAACCAGGTGTAAGTTGTATAGATTATATATGTTTGGTTTCTGGTGTCAATGCAAGAGGAATTTGTGCAAAGAAACAGAGAAGCTTTATGAAGCTGTTGTTTTGTCCAAAAACTTCTCCAAGTTCTTTCTGTAAGGGCAAGGTGGAACAGAACTGGATTGTTTTAGTCATTTCCAGACCACTCTTCAGTATTTTTCTGGGAGGTTTGTATTTTCCATGCGAGGGAATAGTCCTTTGTTCTCACATAAAATTCCGCATGTTTTGCAGGCTGCCACTGGGACATACAGTATATCTAAACGAAGGGTTTTTCTACTGCCGAATATGTCAAAGGAATAGCCAGGTACCTAACCTGTGTAAGGTGTATGTAAGGCCAAGGCAAGAGAATGCTAGAATCTCCCCCAAATTATGTACTTATAAATGGCGCGGTTCCTTCATTTTCGGTGCGCACTCATGAGCCGTTGGACCACTGACAGCCATGAGCGGTGCCTCCGAAGAGGCATTTGTTGTGTGAACGATGCCTTCCGGAAAGACATCTTGAAGGGAGCCCCCTTTTGGAGGAGACTTGGGTGGTTTGACTGAGTAATTCTCTAATGTTCAAGAAATGTTGACCACTGGATGTTTGTTGTTGCCATTTTTGTCCATATCCATCTTGACATTTCCGGTGGATCCCAGGAGGAGGAGGGGCCTGGAAGCTCAGCATGCTGAATGGCCAGTTAGCACAGATTCTTCTAAACCATCTCAGTGATGTTAAAGAGGTGTTGCTAGTTGCTAGAAAAAATGGCGTTGGCAAAATCCAAGTGTTTGTCAAGGTGTGTTGTTTCACTCCCTATGTTTGGCTGTGGCTCATACTATTTTCACAAAAAAAAGGCTAGGTTCTCATACTCAACGATCCCACTGGGGTATTTCTGTGAATTTGGGACCACGGCTTCCAATAATCAACCGGTATGGTTCTAGTATCCCCAAAAATTATTGAACAAATGGTAAGTTGTGGATGGCCTGTTATTGGGTTAAAGGAGGAATTTACTTTGTTTTTCCAACAAATTGGTCATTCTGTTTATTTTTGGAATCAATGGTGTATTTGGGAAGGATTTCTCTAACATAATCCTGAGGGTATGGATCAAAACCTTGAAATTGACTATGCCGCACAAACCCCGTTCAATAGGGAGGGAACCCCAATCTAGTTGTCCATGGTTGCCCCTCTAGTTTACCACATGACTGTTAGTATTGCTCTTGTTTATTATTCATTATAGGGTCTACCACTTAAATATTACCCATACTAGTCAAACGATGCATTTGCTTACATACGTATAAATATTATACCATTGGCTGTTCATTCTCACCTTACTGGTTTAATCAAGTGATAAACATGTTAATGCTGATGTTTCATGATTTTTCACAGTTCTTACCATTAGATGGTTTGTGTTTGACATGATCATATGGTGTATATTTACATTTATATATGTATATATATAGTGTTCTGCCCCTTAAATATAGAAACATCTTTTTTTTTAGATTTAACGTAGCCCATTGCATACTAAAGTCAGATTCTTGGATTGATACCATAGATAGGGTCAAACCCATATTTGAGGGGAATGAACATCCTGAACATCGATAGATCCCAGCTGGGGATCCATAGATGCCATGGTTGGATGCCCATTCTGGGACGATGAGGATCCCAGCTGAGCATATTTTTCTGCCAAGTGAAACCATCCAAGATCTATAAATTTGCACTAATAATGGTACCATGTTAAAATGCACTAGACCATACGATCCATCATGATCCATAACGCGTGGTTCCATACATCACTAGATTTCTTCATCATATTTATGTCGCGTGCTATTTATCATCGTCTATGAAAAATCACCACTAATAGTACTACGCAAGTACCAGAAATTCCTATGTCATGAAATAAATAACCATACCAGATATTAACCCATGTATGGTATGTTTAAATGACATGGGTTAATGTTACTATAGTGGGTTATTTAACCATACCATCATGTTATAAATGACCATATCTTATGATTAACCCATGAAACTTGACCATGGCACTTTCTAAGAGATGAAATATATGCCCAGCCGGGATGAAGATCAATAAGTCCAAACTGATGAGCAAGTCCCAGCTGACGAGCAAGAAGAATCATATATCATCATATATCATCGTATATCATCTTATCTCATCATATATCATCTTATATCATCGTATATCATCATATATCATCATAGTCCCATAATCAATCAAAGGCAATACTATCCCCATGAATATCCAATAATCATCAACAATCCATATCTGCTTGGTGGTTTGGAACATGTTTTTTTTCCATACATTGGGAACAATCATCCCAACTGACTAATATTTTTCAGAGGGGTAGGTATACCACCAACCAGATATGTTTTCTTCACCCCAAAGGCATCGTTTTCGTCGTGACGCCAAGAAACGCCGCTTTCGAGAAACGCCGCGTTGCGGCCGAGGTTGATCCTCCGGCACAAAGCGCCCCCAGCGCCCACGCGAGAGCCCAGGTTTTTGCACCTGGAGCCTTGGTGGCAGCGTGGCTTTCCATATCATATATATTTATTATATTTTTATAATATTACATATATATATATATACTGTACATACATGTGTATATGTATATGTTTTTATATATATATATATATATAGTTATAGCTATTTATATGTATACTCTTAGAGGTTAATATGAATATGTTTTGTATGGTTCTTGGCTTATCTATCTACATCATCATTCAAGATTATGTTGACGTATATAGATAGGTTAGTTAGATAGATGGATAGATAGATAGATAGATAGATTAGATAGATTAGATAGATTAGATAGATTAGATAGATTAGATAGATTAGATAGGTTAGATAGATTAGATAGATTAGATAGATTAGATACATTAGATACATTAGATAGATTAGATAGATTAGATAGATTAGATAGATAGATTAGATTAGATTAGATTAGATAGATTAGATAGATAAGATAGATACGATAGATACGATAGATACGGTAGATAGATAGATCAGATAGATAGATTAGATAGATAGATAGATAGATAGATAGATAGGTAGATAGGTAGATAGGTAGATAGGTAGATAGGTAGATAGGTAGATAGGTAGATAGGTAGATAGGTAGATAGGGAGATAGGGAGATAGGGAGATAGGGAGATAGGGAGAATAGGTAGATAGGTAGATAGGTAGATAGGTAGATAGGTAGATAGGGAGAATAGGTAGATAGGTAGATAGATAGATCGATAGATAGATAGATAGATTAGATTAGATAGAGTTGATAGATAAGATAGATAAGATAGATAAGATGGTTTGATAGATACTGTAGATAGTGTAAATACTGTAGATACTGTAGATACTGTCGATACTGTAGATACTGTAGATACTGTCGATACTGTAGATGCTGTAGATAGTGTAGATAGATAGATAGTTAGATAGTTGCTTAGATAGATTGTTGGTTATATAGCTTGTTGGGTAGATAGGTAGATGGATAGATAGACAGATAGACAGATACAGAGATAGAGAGATAGAGAGATAGACAGACAGATGGATAGATAGACAGAGGGAGAGATAGATAGATGGATAGACCGATAGGTAGATAGAGAATTCGCTGCATTAACCCTAGAGCAAATGTTTGGCACAGGTATCCGTATCCGATTTTGCACAGGAACGGGTCGAAACGTCATATGGGGGAACGGATATTCATGAGCACCAGCTATCTTTCTGTGAAAACCAGGCTACCAGAATCTTGATGCATAGTCATATCACTCCAGGATTGTACTACAGTAGATAGGATTAGATAGATCGACACATTAGCATACATGGTTGTGGGTCAAAACCATGCTACCCTGGTGAACCCTAAGATAGCTACAAATTGATGTTCATCCCCTCAAATATACCAACATAGGTTTTGACTCATCCCCACATTGGCATTGGATCCGATTAGATTAGATTGTTGGATTAGATAGATATAGAGACAATACAGTGGGATCTAAAGGTGACCGTCGCTAACATGAACCAAGGGCCAGTTGCCATCCTTGAGCTGTCACGGCTACTGAAAAAAAAATGTGTTTACTTCGTGTGATCCCCACCGCGGCATATCTTTCGACATTCTATCTGACATGTTTTCTGGCATACTATCTGGCATTTGATCAAACATATATTCAGACATGTTATTTGACATATGTTCTGACATTTTATTTGGCATTCTATTTGCCATTCTACCATCTTATCTGAATTTCAACTTGGCATTTTATTTGGCATAGTGTTCGGGTTTGGTGGAGGCAGAGAGCTGGCTAGCTAGCCATAGTGTGGCTGTGTTGAGGGAGCGATGGAGTGACTGGGATGTCTTGTAGAGACACTCACCTGGAAGGGGAAGAACAATTTGCACTCTCCGCACGCATTGGATCCTGTGGGATTGGATGAGAATGTCATAGATCTCGTGTAGTACCATGTCACCATGTAGTGAAGGAAAGTTCCACGGACTTGGGAAACACATGGTCCAAGTCCCATTCTGAATTTTCATCAAGACCACAAGGCCATTCCTATTTTCTGCCATGGTTTTGCAATCGTCCAAGGACAGTTGCACAGAAACGGCGCAGGCTGGGGCCCTAGTTTTTTGTCTCAGCTAAGTAGATTTGCATTCGCAAGTTGGAAAATCTAGTCTAGTATGTACATTATATAATATTTATTTATTTAATTTTATTTATGCAGGTATATTTACAAAACATTATAGAGGTATGATCGCACTGCTTCATTTTGCATTCTGAGCATTGCCCCAGATGTGGTCTCATGGTGGATGATTTCGAGTTTTCTTCCAAACATTCCTTTTTTTTCCGCCTTCAACCGTGAGCCCTAAACCGGATTGAATGACAGTAGTTTTGACAGATTTCCGAACTCCTGAATTCTTTCCAGAAGTTGGACATTGGACTTCCAAATAAATTTCCTTCCAGGAAATTGACATTCCTGACCCTTTTTTCCAGCTATTGAACCAGCAATTCCTCAATATTTGCATGACTGTTCGAATGGTTCTCCCAAAAGTTCCAAGATCGATACCCTCTGGTAATTTAACATAGCTATTGAAAATGTACCATTTCTAGTTGATTTACCCATTAAAAATGGTGATTTTCCATTGTTATGTTAGTTTACCAGGCCGGGTATCTCCACTGCCCACTGAAAGAAGGCACGTCTGGAGTCGTTACCTCAGACACCCAGCACAGCTGCGGCCAACTCAGAGGATGCTGGGATGTGTTAGATGGTTAGATGGGTGGGCACCATCTAAACTTGTGATTTAACATGATAATATAAACATATTATATAATATATATATAGTTATATATATATTATATATAAACCATGATTTACCATTTAACCGTTTATATAACCATCCACATGTGGTAATTATTGTTCACCATCCGAACTTGGGATTCGACCATCCAAAGTTGGGGTTGAAACCATCCCCAGATGAAGGTTCTTACGGCAGGAATGGCTCGGCATTTTTGGATGGAAACGGTCCAATTGTGGGGTCATTAGTTTTCGGCCATAGCCGTGGCCAGATACAGGCAAATGTAACGTGTATATACGTGTATGATTTTAGTGTGGGTAGAGTGAGAAAAGAACTAGAACTCTCCAGTTTTAAGGCAAAGTTGTTTTTGAAGGTGCGGATGATGGTTTTGTCATGAGTCACGACTTGTCGGGGATTGATGTTGCCAGACACCAATGAACCCACCACTGGGCCCCCAGCTACTTTCACAATCTTTCACATGCCCCGGGCCCGATCCATCCTCGGAAATTGGGAGGAATCGTCAACTGGCCATGCAGAGAGAGTGAGAACCAGATATGTGACTATCTCCGGCAATTGATAGAAATTAATTTTGAGCGCCAAATATCAATGATACTCAACTGGCCATGTGATGATATTAGGCCTCATCCGATGAGCTCCAGAGTCTGTCAGCATCTCCCCAGCCCAGCATCGATCAGCTAGGGTCAAGTCAGGTGATGGCACCCAAAGAATTGGATTTGTTGTACCTCAAAAATCCAACATCATGCCGTAATATTTAATATGTCACATGGGAGTAATAACATGTAATAACCAGCCCTTAAAGACAGTAAGCTTGTTAGTCCAATGATAACAATCATAATTATAGTTAATCCAATGGTATAGCATTACTGTTAACCATTAATGTGAATCCAATGATGTCAATAATGATTACAGTATCCATGGCTCAGGAGGATGCAGAAGCCCTGAGTGGTGAGCCTTCACAGCCACCTCCAAATGACGTCCAGATCCTGGCGCTGATTTCTGTCGGTGGTATAGACTATCCCCAAATGGTACCCTCTGGTAATTTAACATAGCTATTGAACATGGCCCATTTATAGTTGATTTACCTATTAAAAATTGTGATTTTCCATAGCTATGTTAATTTACCAGAGGGTAAGGCTTATGAAATTGGGTTTCCCAGATTATGATGATTATGTTGCCTATACCTCTGAAATTCTCTGAAGAATGTGGTTCACCAGAAAATTCTTTCTTGAAAGCTGACTTTGTTCACAAAGCCGGCTTGAATGAATCATTGGATGATGCGTTGACTGCGTTGATGCTCTTCAGCTTGTTGAATCCTGTTGCTGGTGAGCTGGTGATGATTGGCGCCAACAGCAGATGGTCGGGTATGACTTATGATGTTCCCATTGTGGTTGAGATGTGGTAGGAAGAGAAGCACCTGGATGTGGAATCTTTCCAAAGAGGATAGAAGAACACTTACACATTACTTACTACTTACATAGGATTACATAGGTATGTAGGTGCATCATATGGTTCATCTCTAACCTTGTGCTACTCGTAGGTCCCTTGAAACCAAGTATGGGTTTTACGTAGCAACTGTTGCTGCTGTATCAAGCTGTATCTCTCCAAAGCTGTTGTGATCCAGGTGGGTTCAGCTCTAGGTTCATACGTTAACAGTATTTAACAGTCACCATCCAGAATGAGAACAGTTCATCTTAGCATGTGGAGGTGTAAGTGCAATTTCTCAAAAAACATCTATATGTATACGTAACTATATGGCTGATGACTATAGTAAATGCAGCATATCTTGTGTGCTGGCTCAACATGTCGGTTTCTGCCTTCCACATCGATTCTTATTCTTCCCGGCCCTACCGGGGCCCTACCGGCGTAGACAGCTGAGGTAGTTGTAACTCTAAAGCAACGCCTTTTAGGCATCTGGATTGGTCCCAAAGGCTCTGAGGGACAAGGGACGCTGATTTTTGGCAATGTTCAGTGCTGTGGATGGTTATCAATCCATTAATAGAAATTTAATATATATCTAATATAAGACTATATATATATATTTTAAGACTATATATATATATTTTTTTTTTTCAACCATTAATTATATAAGATATATCAACCATTATATAAGGATGTAAGAGGGAATCATGTTTTTCATATTATGTTTGGATTCGAAATATGAAATGGCATGCATTCTTCGGACCATGGCGCTTGCGCCCAATTTGGGATGACGATCTCAACTGACTGCGCATTTGGGTTGTTATATCTTGTCGGTTTGTTTCAAGTGTTGATATGGAATTACGTATATCAACCGTATATATATATAATTACATATAATTAACTATAATTATATATATATATATGAATGTCCAAATTATACAGGTATTCACAATTATGCTATATATACATATATATATGTATGTATAGATATGTTGAGGTGAAGACTCTTCATGTTTTCAGTCTTAGGTGGGCTTTGAGGCCAGTGACATTCACGCCTTCGAGCCAGGCGAGCAGTACAATCTCAGCCTGTCGCCCGCAGAACCCGGTATCCTTTGCAGCAAAAAGGAGAAGGACGACTTCCGCAGAAGTTGAGTCACCTGGGGAAGTTGAATCCTGAGAAAAATCCCAGTTGAGTAAAGTTGCAAAAAATCTGCAGGATTGGATTTTTGGTGCTAAAAGATTGCGAATTGAGTGTGTTTGCTTTCAAAGATTTTGAAACAAAGTATAGCACCATTCCATATTAAAACAGGTTTTGCCATGCCGATATATATACTGAATCTGACTTAAAGAGCAAATGTTTCAAAACGACACTTTGGGGTTTCTTAAAATGGGTGATCCCCAAAACCATAGCTTTCAACACAAATGGTCTAATGACTTGGATTATTTTGGTACCCCCATTAAAAAAAACCTCCAATTGACCAATTGATTATTAACGCCAATCGCTTATTGTGTTCTGCTTGTGATTCCTCCTTGCTGCGCAGGAAGACTCCCCGACAGCCGAGCGAATTCCCCTGTTTTTGGATGTCAGAGACAAGCAGCAGCGGCATGATTGACGGGGGCAGTGGCAACTCACTCAACAAAATCCAGTTAGTAAGTGGGTAATATTGACCACCCTCTGGTGATGTATGAAATCTATGCTCTATGAGCAGAACAAGAGCCCCTTCCGCACCTCATTTTTGCATTTCTTGAAGTCATTGGAAAAGATGGAAAAAGTAATTGACAATCCAATCGAATTATTTGTATGTTTTCTCTGTAGATTGGCTTGTGCAAGCTTGGAGCTGACAGGTTGGTGTGGTGGGGCAACAATCGATCCTATTTTTTGGATCTGCTCCTGTCTCAGTTGTTAAGGGAAAAATCGCAGGAAATCATGGTGAAATCGAACTGGTCCACTCAATGAATCCATTGGGTGACTGGTGACCAATACCAAACTGGGTGATTTTCCTTCTCTTCTCCAATTCTCAGGATCTCATGCCTCCAGCGCGATTTTTATTGCTGTTGGTGGTCACTTCGACAAATCTGCAGATTCCCATTCCAAGACAGGGCCCCAGGTGCTACTCGATTAATAGTTGCCATGGATTCCTCCCAACCCAGTCTTCGGACACTTATCCTGACTGCAGCGAAACACCTGTCCCTGGAATGGCAGAATGACAGGATTCGATTACGACTTCCTTCAGATCCCCCGGTGGATCGTTGTCACAGTGGCCCTTTTGCACGGGCTTTACGTAGATACATCCCAGAGATCCAAGTTGAAGAGTGGGATGCAGCCTGCAGCGACACTGGTCGTCAGCCCATGGTCTACTCGATGGAGAAAGGCTTGATGTCGAAGTATGTCCATTGGGCTCGTTGCCTCGGGCTAGCTGAAGAAAATCTGGCTTTACCTCCATGGCTGACACCGCTGACAGCCCCAGATGCCCTCAGCCGGGGCCCGGCTCAGCCAGGGGTCGAACCCAGTTTCTTTTCAGAACCGCAGGCGAGGAACCTCGCGGAATATCAAAAAAGGGCTATCCGCTTTGGTGTTTCGATCTCTGGCAAAGTGCTTCTTGCGGACGACCTGGGCCTGGGTAAAAGCATCCAAGCTTTGGGTGTGGCCTGGCAGTACCGCGAGACTTTTCCCTTGTTGATTCTGTGCCCCCCAGTGCAGCGGAACGTGTGGCAGCAAGAGATTGCAAAGTGGACACCCATCCCTGTTACGGAAGTGCAGGAAGTCTTGACAAAGACAACGGTACTTGAGACCACAGCTCGTGTGATCATTGTATCTTATGCATTTTTGGAAAAGTTTGAAGAACTGCAAAGCTCGGCTGAGATTGACTTCAAGGTGGTCATTGCTGATGAGTGCCATTCGATCAAACATTTCGATGCACACAAGTCAAAAGTTATCCTACGGATTGCGTCTTTGGCTCAGCGACTCATCCTGATATCTTCTGACAAACTGGTGAAGAAGAGTGCAGCGGAGCTTCATCCGCTGTTCCAAAGTTTGGATCCGTATCTTGGAACGCAGGAGACTTTCCTGCGAAGATATTTTGGTGGAAAACTAGGAAAGCTGGGGCGGCGAATTGATCCCCGGCGCGAGCAAGAGCTTGAGGCGTATTTGTTCAAGGTCATTGGGATTCGTAGGAAGACAGCGGAAGTCTCAAGTGAGTTATTGCCTCTTCGAAGGCAGAGGATTTTCCTCCCGAAGTCTGGGTGTTCATTGTCCATGGGTGAACTGAAACAAATGGAAACCGAAATGTTTCATCGGCAAAGGTTTGTTTCTGACTCCTCCGTGTCGAAACAGGCGCGTTTATCCGAGATGAAGCGTGTCTCACACCTGGTGATGCAGACAAAGAGGCGGTCATGTGTCGAGTATGTCACTGAGACCACCAACAACGGCGGTAAAATGTTGGTGTTTGCTTACCACAGGGAAATGCTTGACTCTTTAGAGGCAGCCTTAAAAGAGACCCTTGGAGCTTCAGGATATGTGCGCATTGATCAGAAGACTCCGACTCATGAGCGGGAGAACTTGGTGACCTGTTTCGAAGAAGACGATGAGTGTCACACGGCACTGCTCTCCTTCACGGCCTTGTCCGAAGGGCAAAGCTTGCCACATGTTGAGGCAATTCTTTTCGCCGAGCTCGCTTGGGCACCCAGTATCATCCTGCAATGTGAAGCTCGTGCCCACGGGATCCATGAGATCCAGGGTCGAAAAGGATCTAGTTCTAGTCATTCTATTCTCATCCAATACCTTTTGCTGGAAGATTGCCAATGGGACTCTCATTGCTATGAGCGCTTGGAAGAGAAGCTGCGGCATGTCACGCTCGGCACCGGTGACGCTGCCGAAGAGCATGATGCGGCCAGTATCTCCAGGTCCATCGAGCCATTGCCTCCAGCGGCACCCAGCTCTCAGAAACAGGAGATCCATGACAGCTTTCCCCTGACGGAGGCCACTCAGGAAGGGCTTCAACATTTTGATGAGAGACGATCGGATGAAGTGTATCAAGTTGTTGAGCATCTTCATCTCGGCTTAAATCTGAAATTGCAGCAATGCTATACCAAAGATTCCTTGGAGAAAAAGTGCAAAGGCAACGAGCAGAAATTGCGAAGGCTTCACTACTTTATGAAGGAAGCAAAAAAGCTCCACCCAGTATCAGCAGCTTTCAAGCCAGGAGGTGGGGTTGGTGCAAGCGCGCAGATGGTTCATCCACCCAAGCGGCAAAAGCTCTCTGAATGAAGACTGTACTTGAGCCACTGACCTGATACATTGCACTTTGGAGAGAGCGGCCCTTTGAAATCCGTTTCCCAATATATTTGTTCCATTTGCGAATGTTTGTCTAGTTGCTCAGGTCAACTGCCCTTAAGCTTGAAAGAAAGAATCCCTTCCATCCGGAAGAAGAACATTCGAAAGAATACGCGCCGCATTTGATGTGGCGATTTGTTCTCAAATTTCTTGATGTGTTTCCAACATATTCCAAAATGCTTTAGGACTTTAGGACCAGATAGGACCATTAAAGTTTCCACCATCCACAAACATTCCAAGATCGCGGTCCAAAGCATGGCCGCGGCTTCGCTGCAAAAAAATCACCAAACAGAGCTGACGATGCCACGGTCCACCGACCTGTTTGGTTCAATCAAGTTACATCCCATCGATGCTTGGTCCACATCGCACACATAATTCAGTATATGCATACAATTGCTCGTATAAATTCGTATAATAATGTATAATATATATATATATTATATAATATATACGACATATGACTATAAAGTCCATTGTTGATCATTATGTTCCCAACTCGTTACTGGTTTGTTTGTTTGTTTCCCGAATGGGATACCCAAGAATCCATCCTTCTCCGATTTAGAATGAGCATCGAGTGGGGTAAATGCCCACATTGTGATCATGTTTGATCAATGTTTATCCATTTTGGACCACCGATTGATCCATCGTTGGACTGATCGGATCAATGTTTATCCATTTGGCCAGTCCCTAAGTGGGTAAAAAATCAGAACATGATCCTTCAGAACATCCAGTTAGATCCAGTTAGATAGTTTTCATTATCCCATATTATCCCATACTATCCCATATTATCCCACTTTTACATAGCTTATCACCTTACTAAAGGGAAACCACTTCCAACACGTGCCTCACGTGCCATCTAGGACGGAGTTGACGGAGCAGAATGATCGTCTCCTTTGGCATGACTCGGGCAATGGCACGGCACAAGAGTTGGCAGCCGAGTTTTCTTAGTCGCGGAGATCCATGGAGATCCCATAAATATCAATGGGATATGAATGGGATCCGAATTCGATATGAATGGACCTGGAATGTGAATGGGATATAAATGGGATATAAACGGGTTAACGTTGATATAAAACATTAGAAAACATTATAAAGGCAACAGTAGTTGAGATACAATCTGATTGCCATAAGGGGGTAATGGAACCAGTTGTCAATTTTCCATGTAGAATTGTCTGGAAATTAGGCAAAACCATTAAATTCAGGATCAGTATAGATGTCAGTAGTTTGAGTTCAAGGTATCATACAGTAATTTTCCGTTTTTTTGCAATTGCCATTTGACGGTATATCTCGTTTTCAGACCTGACAAACCCAAATGCGCATGGGCCGGTAAGGACCAAGAGTGATTTTGCATATATTGGCCCCCAACAATGGATTATTGATATTATGATGATTTATGAATATTTATGATGATTTGTGAATTTTATGATATATCCTAATCTTATTAATCTTGCAGATGCCAAATCTTATGGGTCCAAGTCTACCTCCTTCAACCATACCATGCGGAACGTGCGTGTCACGCCTGCCATGATTCTTTGCAGTTCAGGCAGAATGGTTTTTCAACATGTTTCAGCTCCAGACACCTAAAACGATTCAAGGAGATGAAGTTCGCTTCTTTTTTTTCGAATTGGTCCCTCCCGTCATGCGGATTTTTTGGAATAAATCATTGTAAAACATCCCTACTACTGTATTTAAATTTCATGGGTCATCATGAATCAATGTCATCAAAAAGCATAAATCATTATTATTCCAAAGTGTTTCATGGATTTTCATGGGTCATCATAATCAATGCTTGTCCATCGCCTCTTTTGCGAGGCCAAAGATGGAATGGAAACGAGTTCCGAGCGGCGCAGGCCGTTCAAGCCTTCGGGAAAAGGGGGGATGCCGCAGATTTGAGTATGTGTCGAGTTTAACCCATAATCCATGACAATCCAGAACTGGTTGGTGGTTTGGAACATTTTTTATTTTTCCATATATTTGGAATAATCATCCCAACTGACTTTCATATTTTTAAGAGGGGTAGGTCAACCAGCAACCAGATAATAAACCCACTAGAGTTGGGGGTGCTCCATTTTCAGACAAAACGAAACCTTGTGAATGGCTCATACATCCATTCGTACCACGGATGTAAATAATTGTCGTGTTCCCTGAAATGCAAGCTGCAAGTATACTGACGCGACTTGACTCATTGGTCGACTTTGCTCCCAGATGGTCATGGGTTATTGTCTTTCAAAAGCATCTATGGGCCATTAGGTCTCATGTAGACCTAACCTCCAACGGGTTCTTCAGCTGGGATTCCTCACTGATGTTTGCTGGTTTCATCCCCAGTTTTGCGGAGGAAATCCCATGAATTTAGTTTAAAAGTGGCTATCCCCAGCGTTTGATAGTTGATCATCATATTCCCATTAAACGGAAGTTTTATTGTATCCCCCAGTTTTAATCTTCTAGACCAGTCCATTTTATCCCACATGTCCAAATATTCCAGTAAGTCCTAAATATCTGACATCATTACCCTCTGGTAAATTAACATAGACCCTGAAAATAAGACATTCATTCTTAGTGGAAACTATACTGGAATATTCCAAGCCCCATCTGGCAGGGTCTATGTTAATTTACTGGAGGCTATATCGGTATATCCCACTTATCCATACATCTCCCGCCTTTGCAAAGCCTAAGGCGAAGAAACGGTGAAGACTGTGCGCGTGAAACGCTGGTCCAGAACCTGGGGTTTGCTCCGATTTCTGGGATTTGACTGTTCAGGTGGGGGGTGAAAATATGTCAACATATTTGGGTTCCCAAAAACCTGGCTTCCGCTGGTGTAGTGACCAAAATCTAGCTGGCTTGGCTGGGTCTTGGATTTTGACCACCAAAAAGGGCACAGAAGATCTGACTGTCCCTGGTTGGTGGTTTCAAACATGTTTTATTTTCCACAATATATGGGATAATCCTTCCCATTGACTCATATTTTTCAAAATGGTTGAAACCACCAACCAGGTCCAAATTCACTGTAAATGGTGGCTTTGTGGTGGTTTCGATGGAAAATCATCCCGTTGTCTTTCCATAATCACATCATCACATACATCAAAAATAGAGTACTACTCTAACATATCAAGCCTATAGTCTATAGCTAGAACAACTGGGTCTGAAAATAGGGTGCCTCAGGGTCCAGTGGTTTATGATTTATGTTCATTTGCCTATTACAATGGTTCTTTTGCGAGTACAAGAGGCTGCATCTATTCTCCTCCTGCAGAGGTCTCCCAAGCCCGAAGTGGAAGTACCGCTGGTGGAGGTGCGCGACGTGCCTTTTTTTTGAATTCAGCACTAGCCTGGTTGATTAGGGGGTCAAAGATTGAATGATATATGGGTTTAAACATTTTACACCATTACTTATATAAATATGGATAGCATTGATAAACTCTGTGGTTGGTTGATGCCTGATTAGTTATGAAATAGATGATTACACCATTTTCGGGGGAACCAAGGTCCAACACATTTGGGGTGATTTTTTTTTCCAATGTCTGTGGGATTGAAGAAAATCCAGCTGTTTAAGATTGCTATTTGAGGTATATATACCTGTTTTTGGGCAAAGCTGGATTGATCTATATCGACTCAACGAAATAGAACATCGAGTACTTCTCTTCAATCACATACCGTGCTCTGAGGTCTTGACAGCCAATCATCTCTCATCAAATTGATCAATCCGCTTTTGCCCTGATTGCCTCTCAATTTTCCAAGGCGCAGCAAGTCTATCTACTAAAATGAACAGTCAACTTTTGAGTACCGCGAATCACATTTTGTGGCAGTATGAGAAGCATCCATTGGCGTGTCTCTTGTGAGAGATGGGTTGATTTTCGCCCAGCACACAGATCCATCCCTGTTTTGTTCAAAGGTTGGAAGGGTAGAAGCTGCTGGGTCGCTGAAGGTTTTTCACCTCAGTCCTCCCATTTGGAATCTAATCAAACCTTATAACCTTTGAGGGACTTCTTAAACTTGTTAGGGTCTTTACTCAGGATGGCTGGATCAAAACAGGCAGGGCGCGTTGACTGGGCATCAGGACCCAGTCCCAACTTCCGCACCTTTCCTCAAAGTTCAGGACTGCCAAAGCAAGATTGGACTGTCCGCACATCGATCGCCTGTGTTGATATATCTAAAATTATCTAAATGCACTTTATATTACACTTTACACTATAATACACTTACATATTAATACTTAAATGACATCATATGATAGTTTTAGTGACTTTTGTTTGTTCCTCTCCAGGTTGGATCTGTGCCCAAAACAAAACCAGCCAAGCCTTCCGTGGCCATGGCGCTGGCCATGGCGCGTATGGCGCGCCATGCTCTGGTTGGGGCTGCTGGTCCTTCCCGGCCTTCCCGGAGTCGCTTGGGGATGGCAGGGCACCTGCTTTGTGGACTCGGTCCACATGGCCCATTGCTGCGATCAGCCAAAGCGCTGCTTCGGCCCAGAGAAGATCGACAGGTCCTGGGAGGAGTGGAGATGAGCGGAGTCAAACATGGAGTCAAACATGGAGAGCCTGGGAAATCCCCTATAAAAATCATTAAAAATCTATAAACATGATAAAATTGAGGTTTGAATTTGAATGGGAAACAAATGCTATAACTGGTGGACTTAATGGGAACATCATATATAAAAAAGGATAAAAAAAGGTATGGATGCGATATTGTCGATAATTGTTTTTTTTCCACCAGCCCTGTTTGATTACCGAAGGGTACATTATGGTAACGTGAATTGTAATCGATCATCCACTATGAAAGAAACCCACAGGGACCAATCCCTTGACGTGTAAGGCGTAATCGGGGGGAAAATCCTCCAATTTGAATGGGAATGTCAATGGTTGAGATTGAGTTTTTGGTTTTCCCTGTTTTCCCTTCAATAGTACCAAAACATACGAAGCGATGTTGTTCCAAACCTGTGTTCCCACAATTTTTCAGAGAATCCCAATTCTTTCGCAGTTCTTTTTTCCGTATATTACCATATTTCTTTGGTGCCAAACACTGCCTAACAACCTCAGGAGTGTTGTGGCGTTGAATTTCAGCAGCTGTTGATCAAGTCGGCGGCCAAAGAGCTTCGGAACGCAGAAGATCTCAACACCTTGGGAGAAATCTATTTGCTCCTCGAAACGCGACTTGTAGAAAACCTTAAGATTATAGATAAACGTGTTTGATACTTTGTTGTTTGTTTTCCATTTTTTACTTAGAATTGTATTTTTTTAGGTTCTTGTTGAAGTTGAACTGGAATTTAGAGTGTGTTTCTTCAGTTTTGTGCGAATGTTCACTGCGTAGTATAAACTACTAACATTGCTGGGCAAAAACGACACCATTGTGGATGGGCTCTGCAATGTCCGGAGGTTTCTAAATTTCCTGAATTACGACAATGTCGATGCATGGGAGCTGATTGCTCACACTGCGGGCAAGCGTGCGCTGGCAGAGTACAACGCCTTCACATCCTTCGCAGAGGACATGGCAAGTCACTTCGACTCGGAAAGCTTCAGGCAGCAGAAATTCCATGTGATGAAGGACCTGTGCCCTTCGCTGAAGACCACGGTTAAGAAAAAACGATTGAAGTTTCAGGCAGTCATACTCTGTTAAGGGTCTTTCATATATAGATCTTATAGAATTATATAGTTGCGTTTGAGTCAAGTATATAAGTGGTGCAGATGGTTCCTCCAATAATGAATCACAACTGAGAGTTTGTGCCTGAAAACTAACTATACAATGTCAGAGCGCAAACAGACAGTCCATTGCAGACCAATGCGAATGGGTAGTGATCCTTTGAAGGGATGAAGGGATGTCTTGGCTTGTTTTTAGCCGTGAAATCCCAAAAGGGCACTTGGAAAGGGCTAAAACACTTAGGTTCTTCAAGCATTCCCGGGGTTCCCACTTCCTCGCAGCCTTTCCACCTGGAGGAAATCAATCATGCTGCCCATTTGATTGAAAACTTCTTCCAAGTTGCATGGTATGATCATTCCAGGCAGATTGGCAAATCTCCAGTTGAGACTGACATCAATGAAGTTCGGCCAAGATTTGAGAATGCCTTGAAGGTGTATCAGGTGGTCCAAAACGCCGCTGATACCTTGCTTTACGATGCCGTGGCACGGTATGGGATGATTCCGGGCACGCCACGGCTGTCGACGGCTCCGGAAGTTGTGTTGGTGCTCACTGTGGTGGGTCCTTGGGCTTCTGTAGGTATCGTCACGTTTTGGAGCATTCTGCGAACGCGAAGCACGCCACTGGCTTTTCAAGAATGTTCAGCATCATTTTATCATATTTTATCATCACCCGTTCGGTTGATGCAATTTTCCTGTCCAGTTCGGGATGATGACCAAAATTGGCCGATAGACGGGGGGATTGGTTGAAATATGTTAAGTTGTTACTCTTTATATAATATCATTTTCGTCTTGTTAAAGTGATGAACTGTGTGTTTGTGTGGTACGTGCCACTGATGTAGCTGGACACAGAATATCCTCTTCAATCCAACGCGAAAGCCCACGACTATCGGTAAAGATGTAGCTTCACGCTCCCAATGCCTCAGCCTTTACAGTTTACAGGCATGTTTGGTTTGAAGGTAGGGAGGATAAATTAAGATAATTATCATGTATTAATTTACAGGGTTGTTGCTCACATTCCTGTCATTCTACATCATGCATTATGCTACAATCATGTGTTCCTTGGTTTTCAAGTCATTGTTTTGGCATCCAGGCCACTCCGGGTTTTCATCTTCGGCGATCAAGCAGGAATTCGAGACTGGCGAGCGATGATGCGCACAGTGAAGTCTGCAACTCCACACGTGATGCATCGTTTGCGATTTGACTACATCGATATTTTTCAGCACCCTCGCAGCTTACCCGCAGCATTAAACATGATTAAACATTATTAACTATGATTAAACTCAAATGCCATCAAGGATAAGTGGCCACATGATACACATAGAATAGTTCCAAGGGATAGTTGTTGATGGAGTATTCTAATGTACTCCTATATTAATATGCTTCCCTATGTTCGATCCAGGGGCATTCCACCTGGGTCTTGGCAACCACTGGCCTCGGCAGGTATGATAGCATATTTCTCTCGCTTGCCATCGGAATGCGCAGCAAGCAACATGAGTAAAGCCTTGTATGCTCGGTTGCTATGCCATGAGCTGTTGCCGCTGGATGTCGAGAGAGCTATCGCAATGGACCTGGGAGACATTTTGGTGTTTGAAGACATACTTGGCCTGTGGGAGTCTAGTTCAAACATGTTCAAAAAGTATGTTTGCGGATCCACAACTATGGTTTCGCTGTTCGCTTGATGTTTTCACTGCTACTACAACGTACTTTGCATCATTCTTGAATTCAGAAGGGGTATATTTTAGGCGTCTATCATCTTCTATCCAAGGAGCACAACCCTCTTTTTGGATGGGATGACCATGTGTACTTCATAGTATGTCATAGAGGCTTGTTCCAACTGTTCTGAGGCTGGTCATTTGACACCAGTATCCTAGAATAAATCTGGCATCTTTGGTCTTTGCCTGTAAGTAGCAAGCACTATAGTCACTACCCACATCGCGATTGATCAAGCAGCAGCCCACGGTCAGTACCTCGCTTAAGCCTATGTTTTGGCTCGCTTGAGCCGACGCCACAGCTATATTTCTTTTATGATACAAATGCTGCTGTGGCAGTTGCTGCCCATGGTTTTGGATAGTAGTTCTGAAGCTATCAGTGATGGACAGGAAGGTTCCCCAGGCTAGTGTCAAATGGTGAACGATTTATATGTATGATGACATCTTCGTTGAGCCCCGGTAAAGCCAGGTTTATACGTACTCCTCAGGGATTCCATTGTCCCCCGTCCTCTGTCCCCACCCCCAAAGATAAACCTTTCAGGTGTATATTCAAGGGATCGTTGCCTGTAGCCCTGTTGTCCCCACTGTCCCCTGCTCGTCCCCTGTCCCCGGTCCCCACCTTTAAAGAGAAACCCTAAAGGTGTGAATCCACATCCATGATGGGACCAGGGCCCCCACACTGACAACTGTTCATACAGTCCTATGAATCAATCAGGAAGGGATGTGGGTCAAAGTCTTGGAAACGGTGATCCCGGTTGAGTATGAGACTATTAGTGACTAATCCCCATCATCTATAGATATCGATGATCCCATTTTCACTCCAATTACTTCGGTATTAACAAAAGTTTAGCCCCATTTTAGAACTTCTTTGGTGCTCTACGATTCATGGGATGGTGAACTTCCACCAAATTATCTGGTTTTGCTGAAGATTATGATTCAATTTTCGCACTGAATTCCCCGGGCACCTTATGTACTTGAAAAGTTCTTTTATCTACTGGACAACACTGGAAATACCTTTTGCTGGGACTCATCTCTACTTTTCTTTCCAGGGACTTCTCAAACAAATAGTAGTGGGGCCGGAGACAATCAGGACTTCTATTTGAACATCCTCAAACACCCCCGGCATGAGATTCCCATGTATTTTGCGCGATTATAGCATGTTGATACCAATACTCAGGTGATTATGATAAAATATTGGTGGATTACAGAGGGGTTATATTATACTAGCTGGTTGATTGGGGATTTAAAACCAGCCCTGCAGTAGCACAATTGTTGGGTTAACCCGATGGGAAGATGAAAAAAAAGCACCAAGCAGGGTGATATGAAATCATCCCAATTCAGAAAATCCCATAGTTGTCTCCAAAATCTCCAGGAATATCATGGAAAAAAAGAGCAATCTCACTTAGAATCCCATATTTATCCCAATAATTCATCCCAAATTCCCAACAGAATCCCAACCAAAAAATATCCAATGTTAAACCCCAGTGAAGATCAGCAGAAACAATCAGCCCCTCACATTCCGACCAGGAAGAGGGTGATCACCTCCAACCGGATGAGCTTCTGGCAGCTGCCTCACATCGTTCCCAGGAGGAGTCCCTGCGCCAAACGAAGCCCTCGGAGCTCAATGGAGGACGCCGAGTTCGTTGGCGGCGCGCCAGTGGGATGTGTTGGGTAAGGGTGTCTGTGGATGGTAAAGTCATCGAAATCTGGGGAATGGGTTAGAATTGGTTTACATACTGGTAGGTATTGACATGAAAAGTTTCATTTGTTTTAGATTAAAAGTCATGGTATTGACATAGGCGTCGAAATCTTGTCATACTTATTCCCATTAGAATCATTAGAGCTCATGGACCATGTGGACGGTATTTAAATCATTGTAGACATGATATGATATGATTGTAACCAAAAGGAAGGAGTATCAAAAAACCCTGCTGATGATGGGTATCCATGAAGATGGGAATCTTCTCTGCAGATCACTGTGAATTTTCGATCAAAATTCTCAACTCGCAAAACTCTTTGGTTCAAAGGAAACCATTGACCATGGCTACCCCATTTTGATCCATGCCCATATTGGGTTTGTCTGAAAACTATGGGAAAACTCTCAGTTGAACATTGACATTTTCGGGTATCAGGTATGCCCATGCGTCATCCATTTTGAGACAAACTTTTATGTTAATAAACACATGCCCAATATGACCCAATCAATCAATATATATATATATCATATGTATGTAATATATTTATTGCATTATGTGTTCATGACTGATAGTGATATATCCCACAGATAATTGGGTCGGCCCTCCATGGAATCGATACTACTGTAAGCATATTTGTATAAATTTGTATGTTAATATATATATATATACATATGTATGTATATTATATATATATATCATATTATATATATATATTATTAATATTATTTATATATATATTTATATTATATATATATATATTTATATTATATATATATATTATATACATATAAATACATATCGGTATACTTCGTTTAAGAGTTCGTCTCCTCTTGTGGTTTAGGAGTTCCAAGTTGGGACGCGGGTAAACAAGAACGCTATTAGGTGGCTGTGAAACATGCGCAACTCCTGTGAAACGTGCAATACTCCTATGAAACGTGCATAACTTCTATGAAACGCGCATAACTGCTATAAAAATTGCATAACTTCCATGAAACGTGCACCTCTATAAAACACTGCAAAGAACTCTTGTGTATTCCTAAAGCCTCATCGTTGTAAAACACTGTAATGAACTCTTGAATGGAGCATACTTATATACATATATATATACACATATATACATATATATATATATGTACATATGTGTATATATATACATATATATATACACATATGTACATATATATATACACATATACATATTTATATATATATACATATATATATATATACACATATATATACATATATATACACATATACATACATATATATATATATACATATATACACATATACTACATATATGTATGTATATATATATACATATATACATACACATATATATTTATATATATACATATATATATACATATATATATATACATATACACATATACATATATATATATACATATATTTATATACATATATATATATATACAGCAACTGGGATGCTCATCCAAACAGGGGTTGACCGCGCGAAATATCTGGGAATAGGAAAGGTTTCACCCGACCATATTGCCAGGATTGTCGATTGGTTGGGATGTCACCTATAGCCATGATACGTGTAAACCACACGCGGGTAAATCCATACTGGCCAAAGAAAATGCTGGAGACACATTACACATTCCATTGATACTCTATGAAGACATGGTGCATACACATGATTTCAGAGATCATCATGTTGAAAGACATGTCAATATTTTCAGAGAAATAAAGCAAAAACACTGATGAGAGGCCAGGTTTGGCATGTATGTATTCTAGAAGCAAACAAGTCTAGTCTTCAAGAGGTTACTTATACTTGATCTGACTTCACATTTACAATAGCAGTTGTTTTTGTTTATATACACTGAAGACGGGCTTCAAATCTGGATTCTATTGATTTTCATTTCTAGAGGTGCCTTTTTTGGGCAGCCCTCGCGGTACAACCGGGGTGAAACTTTGCCCCAGGAGTTGTGCTCTATGAAGTCAGCCGCATGCGGCAAGGGAACTACACAGAGGATACCCTCCGGGCAGCAATCATCGGACTGGAGAAAGGTGACTTGGCAGCCCTTCACTTAATTCGCTACATGATTAGGAATATTTATGGGGATAAATGTTAGTACTTGAAGTCACCATGCTCTATCTTTAGATTGGCCACTGGAAATTTACTGTCATCTGTTCCGCAGGTTTCCTTTGGATGTGATCCGGTAGGCATGAAACTAAAGAAATTACAGTAGGTTCATAGTTTGGCAGTGAATGAAGGCCTAGCTAGCTGAAAATGTTCCTCTTACTTTGCAAGTATTCCATAGTATTCCCTCTTGCTTCAGTCCAGTCCTCTCGTCCCTGCCTGCCACGTCCCTAGCACAAAATATTTCCATATATTTCCAACAGCAGTGTGTTGGGTTTTCATCTCTGCGTACGGGAGTGGTGCGATGTCCGTTTGCGAAGCCCAAAAACCAGAACGAAACCGGAACGGGCGCTCGAACCTTGAAACCCTGAAACCTGCTGTTGGGTTTCACAGTGGGGTGCATTATATAATTTCAATTAATCTAATATATACATTACAGATCATTACAGTATATATATATACACATATATTTATATACATGTATTTATATACATATATATATATATATATATTAGCTAAACCCAAAAGGTCGCTGCGGCCTGTTTTTGAAGTTATTTAGACGTATTGAACGTGGGGGGGCGTACGGCCATCTGAGCGAGGGTACGGCGGGCGAACGGGGGGGGAACGGGGGGGCGAACGGGGGGACGAACCGGGGGGCGAACGGGGGGGCGAACGCACACATGCACACACGTACGCACATACGTACGCACAGACGTACGCACGTACGTTCGCACGTATGCACGTACGTAGGTACCATGTTCAGACCCATGTTCAAGCCCATGTTCAGACCCATGTTCAGAAATAAGGTTACCTTTGAAAAGTGACCTCCTAATACTAAATATGCTTTAGGAGGCTTAGGGTCGTACAGAAATAAGGTTACCTTTTATATAAAAGGTAACCTTAAAGGTAACCTTATTTCTGAACATGCATGTGAACGTGCGTGCGTACATGCACATGAACGTGCGTGCGTGCATGCGTACGTACGTGCGTACATGCGTATGTGCGACCCCTTCGTGCGACCCCTTAATGCGCCCTCAAGGGGGTGGGCCCGCCCTCAAAATTGCACGGGTTTCGAATACCAACAACTTTGTACCAGTATTCTTGGGTTGTATAAGTAGGTGTAAAATAATTTCGGCACAGGTTGACTGTACTAATTATCACCAGGCAAAACAAGACTAGTCGAATCGTTCGCCCGTCCGCTCGCCCCCCCGCTCGCCCCCCCGCTCGCTCGTGCGGGCGACGTTCGTCCACCCGTTCGCCCGCATGTTCGCCCCTACGTTCGCCCCCCCGCTAACTCTTCGTGCGGTTTTCAACATATCCACGGCAGTGAGTTTTTGAGTTTAGCTAATATATATATATATATATATGTATATATATATATGTATATATGTATATGTATATATATATGTATATATGTATATGTATATATATATATATGTATATATGTATATATGTATATGTATATATATATATGTATATATGTATATATGTATATGTATATATATATATGCTGTACATATATATATATAGCTAGGATTGATCAACTCACAGTTTACAAGTGTGCAGGGTACCATATGTAATTGCAACATCTTAGAACTATCATGATTTCGGAGGTCCCCTTGATGTCAACAACCAGTTTTTCGTTAATGGTTTTCATGCAGCACCGAGGTTATCAGCACTTCTGTGTTTGGGACCAGGACATCCTCAACGCCATGCGGGAAGATCTCTGGGGTCTAAAAGGTGTTCGCCTCCTGCCTTGTCGCTGGTCAATCTTTCCGATGGCGAATTGGCAGTTCTTCTGGAGCTGGGCTGTGCATGGACCAAAAAACTGTGCATGGTCATCCTTCCATGAATGGGGCATTACATGGCCATAAAAAAAGGATTACCATCATAGAACGGATGAATATGGATGACCATAAACCATATACCATATGTATAGTATGTATAGTTGATGTATGACCATAAACCATATACTGTAAGTGATGGATGAATATGTTTTGACCCTAGCACATATAGTAAGGATTTCGACCGGACTCATGGAGTTCAATGATTTGAGCTGTCACAGCGTCCCCCCCTTGTTGTTTGTTGGAACTTGTTCCTCACGATCGATTTATCAGAAAACCAAATTGGTGAATTGAAGCAGTATTGAAATGGTTATTGCAATGTTCTTCATGATGAGTTTTGATTTTTGAGCTTAGATATCTGTGGATGTCCATCACTATCATTAGGGAATATCCCGCTTGAGCATCTTGATCATTTTCCCGTTCAAGTGGTCATACTGTAAACATCGCCATTTTTTGACAATCTGATTGAGTAATCATCCCAATATTTCTCCAATATATCTCCAAAATTCTCCAAAGATATCCCACATGTCATTTCCCATCATATATTGACCATTATTTACCATGATTTACCATACATATATAGCCCATAGGATCCATGTATGGTATATATGGTAACATTTACCATCAATATACCCCCAATGTTACTATATATACCATACATGGATCCTATGGGTAGTAGTAGATGTCAGAGAAACTGTTGGTTAACTCATGTGGAATCATTCAAAACCACAACTGCGATGCAGGAATACCCCCAGTTTCTGGCTTCGCGAGCTGGTCGAGCGACGCCGCTATCCGGGCCTATTGGCAGCGGATCACTTCGAACATTTCTGTCCGAATCATATCTTGTACCTTGGCCATGGGTTTCTCCGAAAGTGACTGGTTGGTGGTTTGGAAATCTTTGGAACATGGCTTTTATTTTTCCATATATTGGGAAGAATCATCCCAACTGACGAACTCATACTTTTCAGAGGGGTAGGTATACCATCAACCAGATGAAGACCTCACCCCGAATTGTGTTGGTTTTTATTAAACTGTTTATGGAGATGATGGTTATCCCGTGGAACAAAAATAATATGGATCAAGACCTATGAAATACTGTAGATTGAAATATTATATTGTTTGGGGGGTGAACACCCATTATTAACCAGCGATGTTGCTGTGAACAGAAGGGTCCAAGGGTGAGCTAAAACAAATCAATTGTGTTTCTCTTTTTTTTTGGAGTACCCAACAGCATTTCTCAGATCTTTGCGGTACCCAAAAACTTTGTTTTTCCCAAACATGTTGATATATTCTAATGTTTAATAATTTTGAGTCCCCCATGATCCCCATGTTAAGAACCCCCAAATGGAAACTGTGTGAACAAACTGCCAAACATCAGAATAGAACGAAAAACATCGACCAAACATAGGAAACACACTGCAACAGGCTGGAACAAAAATCGGACCAACATGGTAAGAGAACTTAGAAAACATGGGAAACAAATGGGAACACATGGGGACACAATGGGACACATATTTATAGATTTTATATAGGCAAACACGGGAAAAAGACATGGGAACAAGATGGGAAAGATGCTGGTGGTTTCTTCGTTTTTATCAACATGAGCCTGACGGATCTGTGGTAGCCCCTGCCCAGGATGCTGCACACCGTCTTCGCCTTTGAAAAAAGGGAGCACCGACAACTGGCGCGCAATGTTGCCCTGGCCCAGGGCATTCGAAACCAGCAGCCAGGAAGCAGCATCAAGGCGCCAGATGGGACGAGATGTGCTTGCGGGGAACGAGCATCCCTGCTTCATGTGCCATCAACTATGAAGCTATGGCCGTGGGTACAGCGATTGTTTCGATTTCATAGCCCTTCCTTCCTGCCAGAAGTTCATGATGAAGCCTTGTTTCGATCTCGTAATGAGCAAGGAGAGGAGCTTGGAGGTGGTTTCTGGGGTTCTGAAGACTCCAAAGACTTGGAAATCATGAGACAAGGCACGCTTGAGTGGGCCCGGGACACAGGCTCTAGTGTGGTGAGTGGCAACTGTGCTACGACCCCAACTTCGCTTGGAAATTACGCCCATATCGACTTTCCAAATGGCCCTGCAGGAGAGGTGCAGAGCCTGAAGTTGAAAGCACAGACCAATGCCAGTCAGGACGCACATCTCTTTTTTGGCACAATTTATACAGTTCCAAACGGTCTCCAGTCCTTGGGTCTGGAATTGGTCATCGACGCCTTCGAAGGCACCAAGAGCATCTTACGCTGGGGAATCCAAGGGGAGGAGATTGCCGAATTCAGGGGCCGTATCTTGGAACGTGGCCAGTGGACGAGCCTTTGGGTGCCTTGGTTGTGAGTGAGTTGCTGCATGTTGCTGCGATGTTTGGATCTTTTTTTTTGAGGTGAAACATGTGAAACAATGGTCATTTTGCATCTGTTCAGCTTTTCAGGCGGCCTAATTTCTGTTAAAATTGCGCCCAATATTTATCGAAGTTCCAGGTGGACATCAAGAGTTCAGGCGAGGTCCAAGTGGCAGCTGGTGAGTCTGGAAACGTATTTCTGGACATCGCTCTGGACATCACTGGGACCTACGACCTGACCCATGGAAAGATCTATGCAGGTTCCCTGGGTCAGAAGCCCGCACATTGGTTGCTTTGTCGGGAATGAGCGCCAGAAAAAAATTGCGCAACTGCCTGGAAGCATGCCCCTTGTAGTACTAGGAGAACGTCAAATATTAAAATGAGTATGTCTGTATATGTCAATATTATATGTCTATATATTTAATTATTATATAGTTACAATTGTTTGGTAACCTGCAGTTACCTGCATGATTGTTTATTACAAAGTAAAATAATCAATCATTGTGGCACGTTGCAAATCATTCACCACTTTAGATCCTCATTGGGTTCGTAAGACATTTCCGTAAAATGCACATTGGAAAACGTAAAAAACTTATGTCAAGTCAAGAATAGGAAATTCCCCCTTCCTTTTTTCCTGGAGACCTTTCTTTTAGATTCCCTGTTGGATTTTTTTCAGTTCCAGCCCTTTTTGAAGCGAAGGTGCCCTTGAAAAAGAACAGCAACAAGATCAGCAACAAGATCCCTCAGGCGGGAATGGCTTTGGTACTCGTACCTGAGAACATCATGGGAACATCATGGGAACATGAGGATGGATTGATATGGACTGGATTATTACCCGAAATTGTCAGACCGTCAGACCCTGACATTGATGATATGTATAATGTATAATATACATATATATACACATATTAATTTATTAGAATTTGAAACAATGACATCTTACCCATGGATGAAAAGAACCTGTTCTGATTTGTCCTCCCTGAGACGACACCTTCCATGACGAGCGGTGTGTCGCTTGGGATGAATTGATACAGGTCGACAGGCAAGAAGCCGAAGTTCGTCCCAAGGTGTGGTACCAGTTGGTTTTTGTTTGCTGCATATAAATCACCAACCATGATAACAATGGTAATTAACGACAAGTTAATAGGAGAGCGGTTTATTCTTATTGGATAACTGAGAAGGATTAGACATGATTAGAATATATGATATGCATATGAAACATGTCTCGTTCTTGTTTCCACGAGTAAATTTAGACTATGTGGGCCTGGTTTTGAATTTAGAATTGGTACAGTGCTATCCAATATTTGCGGTCAATAGGTTTGAGACAAAACCACATTGTTTGATTGCCAGATGGTAACATTTTGAATGGATTGGTTTATGGGAAGTCTGGAACCATGTTCTTTTGCCTCACATACAGGGGTTGGTTTTCATTTTTTTTCCTTGAACCGCTTTTGGTACTATTGGCTTTACCCTCTTTCATGAAACATGACAGTGGATTTTTTTCTCCATTTATAATAATTTATAGATGGTTTGAAACATGATAATTAGTGGAAAATCCCCCATTTATAGATGAACATGTCCCATTGAACCTCCATGTTTGTCTCGGATTTCCCCAGGTGATCGGTGAACCAGAGAGCCAGTTGGTGGTCAAGGTGGGGGGGTGGTTAGGGCAGCTCCAAAAATCAGGATTTATTGGTGATATGACATTGATAATATGTTATGAATGGTGATATAATAGTGATATGAATATGAAATTTATGTTCCAGACATATGTTATAGTGATATACTATAGTGATATGAATGGTGGATATTGGTGATAAATAATCACTAATAGTCTATAGTACAGTAACGAACAATGTTCTACTGCTCGGAAAGATCCGCTCTTTTCTTCTCAGCTTCCACCCGGCGTTTGTGTCGTTTCCCCAGTGGATTGAGAATATGCTGCCAAATTCACAGGAGGTCCAAATCAAACAGGGCTGCAACATACTGTAACAAATGATTTTGTAAATTGGTAGGAAAGTTAAAGGCAAACACCATTTACCAAGAACATGTTGTTGACATACTGGCTGTCTAGAACCTTTGACCCAGATCATCATTGCTGTTTCATTGAGTTTTCTGTTTGATAGTGTCTTTTGGCTAAACCAGACCATCAATTACAAATTGCGAAATGAAGTGGAGTTGCACTTGTATACCCTCTGGTAAACTAACATAGCTATTGAAAATGGCCATTTATAGTGAGTTTTCCCATTAAAAATTGTGATTTTCCATAGTTTTTTGTATGCTTATCAGTGGGTATATTTATCATATTATCATATGTATACAAACTGGTTCAATAGGAATTCTTGACACCACGACTAATCCAAAAGACACGTTTTCGAGATTTTGAACAACGCCGCTTGGGGTCTGGGTCTGGGGGGCGGGTCGCTCCAAGCGACTGGAGCCCTTTCGGTGACTGGACTGGAGTTGATTTACCATCACCCAAACAAACTGCCCAAATAGGGAATGGAAGATTAGTTTCCACTAAACATTGACTATGTTCAGGATCCGCTGATGTGTTTAATATATATATATATATTATTACATTATATTACATCTATACACCTGATTACATGGCTATTTGGTCATTATGTATGTATGTATGTATGTATGTAATGTAATGTAATGTAATGTAATGTAATGTAATGTAATTAATGTATGTATGTATGTATGTATGTAATTAATGTATGTATGTATGTATGTATGTATGTATGTATGTATGTATGTATGTATGTATGTATGTATGTAATTAATGTATGTATGTATGTATGTAATGTAATGTAATGTAATGTAATGTAATGTAATGTAATGTAATGTAATGTAATGTAATGTATGTAATGTATGTAATGTATTAATGTATGTAATGTAACGTAATGTAACGTAATGTAACGTAATGTAACGTAATGTAACGTAATGTAACGTAATGTAACGTAATGTAACGTAATGTAACGTAATGTAACGTAATGTAATGTAATGTAACGTAATGTAACGTAATGTAATGTAATGTAATGTAATGTAATGTAATGTATGTAATGTATGTAATGTATGTAATGTATGTAATGTATGTAATGTATGTAATGTATGTAATGTATGTAATGTATGTAATGTATGTAATGTATGTAATGTATGTAATGTATGTAATGTATGTAATGTATTTAATGTATGTAATGTATGTAATGTATGTAATGTATGGAATGTATGTAATGTATGTAATGTATGTAATGTATGTAATGTATGTAATGTATGTAATGTATGTAATGTATGTAATGTATGTAATGTATGTAAAGTTAATTTCATGGCAACTAGCTGTCAATTCATTTCAATCAGCTGTCAGTGCTGAAGATACAAAGCTCTACGGAGTGCAAGTTTCAAGTCACCGGGGCAAAGCTTTGCAGCAACAAAAAGTAAAGCAAAACTGCAAAGTTGCAAGCAGGGACAGAGTTTTGCAGCACAAAGTTGCAAGCCACAGGGGCAAAGCTTTGCAGCACAAAGTTGCAAACCACAGGGGCAAAGCTTTGCAGCACAAAGTTGCCAGCCACAGGGGCAAAGCTTTGCAACAAAAAGTTGCAAACCACAGGGGCAAAGCTTTGCAACACAAAGTTGCAAGCCACAGGGGCAAAACTTCGCAGCCCAAAGTTGCAAGCCACAGGGGCAAAGTTTTGCAGCAAAACGTTGCATGCCATATATGGGCAAGGACAAAGCTTTGCTCCACCATACACAGAGCAAAGCTTTGAATATGTATGTATAATGGTATATATAGATAGGATTCTTGAATGGGATATAATGGGATGTTATTTTCGGAACGCGCTTTGGTGGGCATTGCTGTTGGCAATAAAATGGGATTGGTACCTGTTAAAGTGATTTCAGGGGTTCCAGATGGTTCCAGCAGTATATCAGATGGGTGCTTTAACTTGACTTACCAAGGGACCAACGGGGATATCACCCAGAAAAAACAAAAGAGTAAAACAAATGGGGATATCACCAAGAAAACACCAATGAGGATTACCCAGAAAAACCAATGGGGACATCACCCAGAAAAACACCTGAGTTGTCATTTTTTGCCGCGCTCCCCCATGTGGCAATATAGTACCACCAACTACTCTTGAGTTGGTTAATCATTCAGCTTCATGTCACCAAAAATTTTGGTCAGTTCTTCACACGATAGTTCTTCGCATCGGCAATCTTTGGAAATTGCATTGAGTTCTTTGCGATCGCTCCTGGCAGGGTTCCATTTTTTGGGTTCGGACAGTTTTTTTGCAGGGTTCCATTTTTTTGGTTTGGACCGTCCTGGAATGTTTTTTGCAGGGTTACATGTTTTGGGATTGTACCCTTCCTGGAATGTTTTTGCAGGGTTCCATTTTTTATGGATTGGACAAAAACCAACAAAAAAAACAAAAATGCAAATTTGAACACGTTGGGCCTCTCAAGCCACGTTTTGATAGGCCCCAACCAACACGAAAGACACAATTTCTCACAAGCAGCAATTTTCAAGCTGCGCTGGTAGTCAAACTTTTTGCAAATGGGCGGTGGCATGGCAGGATACACTAAAAATCCAGATGAAGCCAAAACTCTGCGATGAAAGGTCGCAAATTCAAATGGCAGGGTTGGAGAAACTTCCGAAATCAAATGGCTGGGTGAGAGAAATTTCCGGGTTTACCTTTCTCATTGATGCACTTCGTGCACATGTAGTAAATTCAATAGTGATCGACATGATAACCCCTGGAACCTCAATAGTAAACCTTTGACTTGGGGTTTAGTTTACTCAACTCATTCTGGAAGGTTTTGGTATGATGAGTTATTGTCAGTTTTGTGGGTTTACCACATTGTGAGTTTGTGATGTTGTAAAACCATGTTTTGTTTTGAATGTGACGTTATATGACATACCATACCAGGCAAACCCCAACATGTTCCAGCCGACCCACTTTAGTGCACAACGTGCCATGTCAAACCTGAAGACTGTTTGGTTTTTGCCGTTCTCGCTGCAATGCTCTGGTGACCATGTATGGGAACAATGTGCCATTTCAGGCACATGCAGTGCTTTACCCCTGCACTGGACGAAACCCTGGGTTCAGTTTGGCAGGTCCAACTGAAACTCTCAAGAAACTTAACATCAAAATAAGTCAAAAGTTACAACTGCTCTCCCTTTCGGGCTGCAAGAAATGCTGCACGCTCCTTAGATTTCATCCATGCCCTGTGGGCCCACTCGATCTTGCCGTTGTGCTTCAAGGTGTATGCACGAACCTGAGTGTTTTTGGTGACTGCATGACAAATAAATTTTCTTGGACAAACAACACAAAAACTCAAAAGTAAGCAAAAAGAAAATTGATCTTCACAAATGTTTTTTTGAAAGTTCCAAGCAGCAAAGTTCCAACGGGCCTGATTCATGGCTGACTGTGGCTTCGAGGAACTTGAACGCTCAGGGGCTGCATGATCTGGTTCAGCAGCAGGTGCTGGGGTTGGTGTCTCTTCTTTCTCAAGACGCTGGGATTTGCGAACAACCTCGCATCCAAGTTTACGATTGTGGTCAAAAAACTGCACAACCAATGCAAACACAAACATACACACACAGACACACGCACATGCCCCAAAAATCAAAACTCAAAGTAATTAGATACACCATAAGATTGGAAACTAGTCACGCCCTTGGACTCAAATTTGGTATGCCAATTTCTGGACTGGCTCCTCTTGCGGTTCTCCCTGAAATCCATGATCTTCTGCTTGGTCCCTGGGCTCATGTCCTTTGTGATGCGTTTCCCAAGCAACGACAGGTCCTTCAGGGATATTGTGACCAAAATAGTTCCAAATGATAAAATACTTTATTCCCCTGTCCTTTCAAACCCCACCAAAAAATACGAAATTGAAGAACCTCTGATTTGTCCACGAATTTGTCCTCTGCCTCTGCCTCCTGGGTCTTGTCTTGATCTTCTGCTGGAACTGCAACTACTGCCTCTGGGCTACGGCGCACACGTTGTCCAACCTGCAGCAAGTATGTGACCCCACCCAACACCAGTTGAAAAATTGAAAACATCTTGCTTTAACTTGAAACCAAGAGACCACAAACTCGGGAGAAGCAGGAAGAGCTTTATCCCCAGCATAACCATGACCCGTTGGCTCTTCACAACCATTTGCCCCTGCATCATGGCCCTCTTGATGCTCATCCACCTTGGATCACCAGAGCAGTGTCATCTTCCCAATGGGAAACCCAACAAAAACAACTGAGGGGAAAAGTGCGCAAAATTACAATGCAGCAAAGCTACTGGAGTCGTTGGAGATGGAACGACATCCAGGGAGTCAGGTAGTGAGGACATACCATTGCCTGGAGGGGTGAGGTAACCAGGAGACGATCTGTCATAGAAGCCATTCCTCTCCCGTTCCATGAAACCATACAAATCCTCATCTTCACCAAGAAAGGACGCCAGCTCCTTATTGAAAGGTCTGGCTACTGATTCAACTGGCATCGGCTCAACTGGCTGGGCCATAATCTCCTGAGGCAAAGTATGCACCAACAAAAGTACACAAAAAAAATGAAAACACAACAATGCACAGCAAAACAAACCCCAACGATCCTTCTCAGGTTTGGCCATGAATTTCTTGAGTTGATCGCTCACCTGGAACTTGATGAACATGTCTGGCTTCTTCGAGTTGACCACTGGTGTTGGATCAACCTTTGAGGAACTTGCAGCTGAAGACGGTGGTGAATCATTCATCAGAGAGGTTGATGTAAGCACTGGCGCAGCTGCCATCAACGGAATTGCTGGCAAAGCACTGTCCACATGTTTGCGGAGCAACGAGCTGTCATCAATGGTCGACTCCAAATCCACAACTTCGACGCTGCTCCCCATGGCACTAAATGGCACTGGAAGTGCTCCGAAAAGGGAAGTCACAGGTCAACAAAATCCTACCTTGAAGGAATAAAAACCCCACAGGTAGAAAAACAATTGCAAACAATTACCTGCACAAACCAATCAAGCTCTTACAATCCAAATCCCAAGACAGGGTGCGCTTTTTGTCCCGTCAGGATCGATTTGGTACAGTAGCCAACCCAAGCTCCAGAGGTTTTGTTTGTTGGATCAAAATCCTAAACTACCTGCACCCTACCATCTTTGAAGCAATGTCCCAAAACTTTGCTCTGCTTTCATTGGCAAGAGAGCATCACCTGAAAAAACATTGTTCAAATTGCACGGTGTGTCCTCACTCAAGCGACTTGGTAGAAAGTCTTCGGCTCCAAGACGATGCTGCCCTTCGCAAACCACAAAGGCTTGGCAGGACCAACGACCTTTTCACGAGCATAGTGCCTCATTCCTGGGAGTGGGGTTGCACAGCGAAACCCATGACCAAAAAAAGTCCAACAACAAAGGCTTTAAAAGAAAACCAAAAGCTCCACAAACAAAAACCCAAGAATCTCCACACCATTGTCAAATACTGAGATGATGCCAGACATTTGTTCCCGATGAGACCTGCCACGTTTGTCCCCTTGACATTCCTGGCTTGGACTGCATTGGGTTTGAACACTGCATGTGACTGATGTGTCACAGTGACACAATCTGGGGCTTCTCCACGACGAACATTGGCAGGGCGATCTATGGCATGACCCGTGATCTTGAGGTCGAGATGGCCTCGTTTCTCAAAGGAAAGCACTAGCTGGAACAGCGACATTGGACCAGTGTCCACAAGCCCTTGGGACGTCTGTTCCTCGAGCACAACCTAAGATGCCAACTGATTGAAACTAAACATGTTGCAAACAACCTCACCAAAAAGTATGATCTCTCAAAAAAGCACCCCTCAACATCCCAAAAATATACTCACACGGGAGCAAAAAGCAGGATCCTCACCAGAAGAAAGCCTGAACTCCAGGGCCTTGTTTTCATTCTGTGGCTTCGACAAAAAGTCCCTCGCCTGATCAGGGTAGTGAACATTGTTTGGGGGAGGTCCAAGTACAAAAGTCAAAACAAAGGAGTTTTAACAAGGAGTTTTAACATGTTTTTAAATTGTAACATGTTTTCTTGTCCTTTGACGGACCTCAAAAAGAACATGTTTCAAAAAGTGTTCAACCTGTTTTTTTCTTTCATGGCCTTTGCATCCTCAGAAATCCATGTCCCGCCAGCATACATGAAGAGGGGCTTTGCGTTTGTAGTCCCTGCTCCAAAGACCGTCACCTTGTTGCCTGTGCTGAGGAAGACCTTGTTGTCAACCAAAGTACATGTAATATTCTGCCCATTTCCCATGTTCAAGGTAACAACAGTCATGGCTTCAGCACTTGGGTACTTCTGCTTGAAGTTGTCCTCACTCAAAGCTGGTGGCTCCAAAAACTGGGCTTGGCCACCTGCGTTCTGTTCTTGGCCACCAGTAGTAACAGAGGTCTCTGTTGCAAGATCTCGGTCTGCATCAGCGGCGGAGGGCTGCGGAGCTTCTTCACCAGATCCAGGGATGAAAACACTGTCAAAGTTCTTGAGGCGAACTCGCCAATCCGGGTCTTAGATGTCATACATACATTCAATATGCATGTTTTAGAAAAGTTGCCCCAAAAAAGAAGCCTAAAAGAAAATCTAAAAGGTTCAAATCTAGTAGCTGCGGACTGGGTCTGCCAGCCATTTGTCACGTACGTCACGGGGAATTTCCAAATGCCCGTTGGATGCCATCTTGCATAACTTGAGCACTGGAGCCCTTGGGGCTACTTGGTCAGAAAGATCTGCCTCCCGCTGGAACTTCGGGAGCAAGAGGGCCATTTGCCCACGGTTGGCCTTCCATTCCTCAATTGTTTTTTTTGTTTTCAAAAGTTGTTTGTGAAATCACACTGGAGAAAAAAAACTTTGTGTACAAACCCTGCCTCCAAAAGTTTGTCTTTCACCTGCGTGGTCGCATACTGGAAGATTTGTGGGCTCACGGTCTCAGAAAAACATGCCAAGAATGCATCCTGCTGAAACTCTGTCATCAGATCCAGCACCACCTTCAGGGCAATAACCATATCTATCCCATTTTTAAAAAAATACAAACCGCATGCCTTACCTTTTTTTGACACCCCGCCTTTTCCAAAATGCCATCATACATGCTTTTGTGGTGGATGATGCAAGTCTGCCCCTTGATGGAGCTGACTTTGCTCATGCAGGCTTCCAGCATCGCACGGATAGTGGCTGGATTCGAGAACCATTGTGCTGTCTCCTCCTTGTCCTTTGTTGCTTTGTCATTTATGACTGTAATCTCTTGTAAGGGACACAAAAAAACAAAGGGTAGCGAGGAACAAAAAAGTACAACTCTTGTGGTCAAGTTACTGTCAGGGATCGGCCATGCTCATGGCTGAAGAAGGTTGTGCTTTCTGGGGTCACATAGTCACCTGCAATGACTCGTGACTCTCATGTTTTTGTTTCTGAAAGTTTAAAAAACATTTCCAAAAAGCAAAAAACAAGAACGATATAAAGTTGCACCCAATTGACTCGTATTCAATGGCACGGTCGACTTGCAGCAATTCAACAGCCACCAGTCGTTTCGACAGAAGACATTGCTGTCAGCCAATTGAACTTCTGCATTGCGCGGAGCTTTGAACAGGGTGCCTTGCCGGCAACCCAACGTTGATGCCAGCACCACCATCCAAGCCGGCAGCATTGAGGGGAAGACCCTTAAACTGATGGAGATCAACAAACAAAAGGCAAAGAAACAAACAGCAACATGTTCGTGAAAATTGGAAATATCGAAAAGATGCCAAAAAAATATGCTAAAATTACCAAGGTGCCTGTTGCCATGAAGATTGGAGCAATCGAAGCACACGCTGATGTTTTTCAGCTCCATATTCATGGACTGGAACTTGTCTTCGATTCTCCTGCCAAAAGTAATGACATGTTTTTTCACTTTGGAAAAGAACAGTTTGAACATTTGAATTTTGTTGAAACCCTACCTGGCTTCACCACGAAGTCCAAACAGTACACCATCACCAGCCAAAGTAGGGCATGTCATCACAATCATGCCTAAGCTGATTCCAAGACAAGGCTGACAATTGCAAGGGTGAAATTACCCAAAAGCAAAAGGTTAAAGTTGCATCACGGGTGAATCAAATGTTCAACCAAGTTGGAAAAAGCAAGATACTGCGATCTGGGTTCAAATTGAGCACTTTTTGTGCCCAGCATGCCATGGCATCAATCTCGGGCATAGAGAGCCGCCCGAACTTCGTTGTGTCCAAAAATCCGGTATGGTGGATTTGGTCCATTTGGACATCTGGGAAACGTTGGCCTGCCTCTGCCAAAACTCGACGGGTAAACCCAGTGAGTGAATCTTGCAAGCCTTTCTCTCCGCACAGCATCAACATCCGTTTCTCCATGAATCGATCAGCCAGCCCCAAACCAGCATTGATTTGGTCACGCAGGTGAAGTACCTAGGATGCTACAAAGAACTAGCTCCAATCACAACCACAAAAACATAACAACAATATTTAACAATATATACTAGTAGCTATAAACAACTATTATATAGAACATATGTACATACATATTTACATATGTATATATATACATATATATGTACATATATATACGTATAATATTATCTTATCTTATCTTATCTTACCTTTTATTATATTATATTATATTAAATTAAATTAAATTAAATTAAATTTATTTTATGCTATATTATATTGTAATATATGTACTATATTATCCTCCTCACGACCCCAAAGTAAATAAGAAATCAGTAAGGCACCTGCTGCACATGCTTTGACGACTCCACCTGAACAGGGTGATCAGAAAGGTTTGTCTGTCATGTTTGGTAGGAATAGTAAGTTGGTTTTTTGATACGATCCTGGAAAAAAAATGTATATAAATGATTTTGATGACTTTCTTTTGAAAGGAAAATCAAAAAGAAAAGGGCACATTTCGTCCTCACCTTGTGCTTCCTGAGATTGAAGGACACAGCTTCCCGGAAGTCATTGGAGAGGGACGCAGTGACCATTCCATACTCAGCAGTCTTGAGTTGCTCCTGTATTTCCCAAAAATACCCCCCCATATAGTCCTTTGTTTTAGCCCCCTACTTGTGAGATTTGTGGTTTCTTCGAAAAACCAAAAACAAAAACCAAAGTTTAAATGCCGTCCTCTGCTTCGTCAATAGTGGCACAATCTTCCAGATCGGTTTTGGAACTGGTTTGCATCAAAGGTTTGGAGACATAGTCCTGGTACATTGCTGTCATCTCAACAGCAAAGCGGGCAGGCTTTGCAATGAGTAAGGCGTCGAAGTCTTGGGTGTAGTCCCTGAACGTGATATTAAACATTTTCAAAGAAAGGCAGCAAACAAGGAATTATATACACTAAAACAAGAAGAAAACACCTGGAACAACATAGAAATTAAATTCTCAGGAAGAAACCCATTGACAAAGGCCCTCTGCATGTTGTTGATCATATCCTCTGTGACACGCTTGTCTTTTTTGGCCTCCTGGATGACGTAGATCGCCAAAGCACATTGATCAACACTTCGATTCCACTGTTCATCATTCCATCGCAACCGGCTTCTCATCGACCGTTTCATCCTCTTCGAATTCACGCTCCACCAATGATTGTACTTCAGAAAGTGAAGCTTCTGCACTTCGGGCGTCACCTAAATGCCAGATGGGTAGCTCCTAAAAACATCAAAAGAGACCACCGAAAATTAAGCAATTATTGAAGGGTGTAGGGTCAAAATGAAGTCAAGGAACTGTGAGCAGCTGCTGCCAAAATGGTTGGCATCCTTTTGCGGTTTCGTTCAACTGATGCCTCTTCAGACGCAAGATGCTCTCGTTGTATCCTCACAAAGTTGTTCAAGTCATTTTCTGAAATCAACCAAAATTAAAAACCAGCCTTTGGAAAAACCTTGGGGCAAAATGGATATTGTTGTAATAATCCAAGTGACCTGATTCTTCCCACTTGTTGTAATCCAGATGTGAACGAATCAATGCTCTTGATTCGCTTGTCATCCCCACGATGATGCCATGGATGGCTTGATGGGCATCAGGTGATATCTGCCATTTTTTGATGGCAGCATTCGCTTTGAAACTGTTGTATTTGGCAATCAGCTCTGCAAGGATCTCTGAGTCATTCTGGTCCCGGGAAATTGCCTTCCTCTCAATGAGTAGTTGTTCAAACCGTAGGGAACACTTGAGAATGTCCTTCTTCTGCCGTTCACTTCCCTGTGTGCTCAACTGCATGTTTTCGAAGCTAACTTTCTCAGGGTCCCGGTTCGAAGAGATCGTGGCCGGCAAATTGAAGACATCAGACACCGCAGCCAGCAAGGGTAACACCAGATCCTTCAAGAAAACAGCATGATTTTTATAGACCTTCAAGAAAACAGCATGATTTATACAACAAAAAATCAACATGTTTAACCACAAGTTTCCCCCAAAAAAGGAAAAGCAAACATCAACATGTTTTGGTTCCAGTCCTTCCCGGCGACTGGGTCCAGGTCTGCCGCAACCAAAAGGAGAAAAAGTGCTGCAGTCCTGTTTTTTGAAATCAAACCATTGATATGTAAAAAACAGAACACCAAAAAGATTACCCCTCCAAAACAAATGGAAGAACAGTTTATCTGAATTGGTACCCAGCATCAACCTTGTGAATCCTTTTTTGACTCCAAGAAAAGGCAGCTCAGGTCTTGGATTTCCCATGTCCAAAATGAACAAATCAAGAGGCTCACGATGTAACCTGCTTCCCGTGAAAAGGAAACTTATGACTGTTGTCATCCAGTCATCTACCGATGGCAAACCGTCTGGTGGACAGACCACTTTAATGCAGGTGATGGGGACAGTGGCCACCATGTGCTGTTCATCATCTGCCCCCAGAAGCATAGAGGTGATGTCCTAAGAAAATCTAATTCTGCAAACTGGAGAAGAAATGTTGGAACCACAGTTATTTTTTTAAAAACAAAACGAGTAACGTGATGTAAAAAATGCACAATGAAACAGACCAAATGTCTGGGATGTTGGAAATTTCCATCTTCTTCCCGTGAATCTTCATAGCTTCCTCCAAGAATCCCTGGCACTTTTCAAGCAGTCGTGGTACATCCTCTGCACGCTGAAAGGACTGCATGACTAAGTCCACCGGATGAGCTGACAGCCCAACGGTTCCAGCAGATGCTGGCTCTGTGAACATGGAAAGGTAGCTAAGGACTTCCTCGTCAGGGGATGTCAAAATTTTATATTTAGATGTATTTATATAGTTGGCTGTAAATTTAAGCATTAAAACGTTTGGCAACACATTGAATGAAAGGAAAAACAGAAATATATGCCCATGCCTGGACGAAAGTGGTGTCGCCAGGGAGTTTTTTCACTGCTGCCTGCCACTCTGTTTTCCTCTTCTTGGCCAGTGAGTCATCACTCTTCTCCTTTGTGGGTAGAAAATAGAAAATATGTAGGGAACATGTGGGATTGTTTTGTGGGATTTGTTTAAGTGTAAAAAGAAAAATACACACAAAAACTGAAAAAATATACCAAGATTCAGGGGAGATTTGCAACTTTCTCTCAGGCTTCTCCTCTTGCTTAACATCGCCCTCTTCCTTCTTGACTGGGGTCTGTAGCGCAAGTTGGGCAGCAGCGACGCCAGAGCGGAGCAAGGAAGACTCCATGCTAGTGGCTACAGCAACAATTGTTTCCAAAAATCCCAACAAACAAAGTGGACAACCATTTTCATAAAAGCATAATTTCATTCCCTGAAAGATTGTCATGGGTGTGGGTGGATTCCCCAAAAATCGTCGTGGGTGTGGGTGGATTCCCCAAAAATCGTCGTGGGTGTGGGTGGATTCCCCAAAAAATCGTCGTGGGTGTGGGTGGATTCCCCAAAAAATCGTCGTGGGTGTGGGTGGATTCCCCAAAAAATCGTCGTGGGTGGTGGGTTGATTCCCTCAAAATCATCGTTGTTTGTCTGCCCAACCCCAGTGATTTTTTTTGTCTGTTTTGACCTGAGTTTGATCCCACCCACAACGAAAAAGCAGTCGCTAAGTCTAATCAAAATCGTCGTCGTTTGGGTGCTCAACCACAAAGATTTTAGTATTGAAAACATGGAGGACCCCGATTTTGGATTTTTTCAAAAAATCCAAAATCGGGGTCCTCACTCTTTTAAGTATATAAATCGTCGTCGTTGAGCACCCCAACCACAACGAAAAAGCAGTCGCTAAGTCTGATCAAAATCGGCGTGGGTGCAATCAAACGTACGCATTCAGGATGCTTTTTTCCTTGCCCTGTGGATGCCCTTGTATCCCGTGTGTCCATCACACACGTCCATCTCACACGCAGGCTCTCACTTGAAGAGCTTTCGGTCTCATGCGCAAGCTCTCACATATAGTGGGGCTCAACCTCGGCTGTTTTCTTGTAACTAGTTTTGTTGTATAAATGAGAAATCGGAATCCAAGAGATACCTGAAGGTGGTTAGTGAGCACATTTTTTTAACTGAAAATGGCACACCTTTGTGTGCAGTTTTTTTTGGTGAAAGTGAGGTGCTGGCCCTGTGGGTAGACCTCTTTGAGTTCATGGATGATTCTCCATGAGATATTGAACATCTTGAGACGGATCCTTATCAATGTTGGTTTGATGAGTTACCCTTGGACAGAAATCTTCAGAGGAAGTTCCTGTAATGTACTATGCATGTATTTACACATATCTAAATATGGGATATAAACATATATAAACAAATAAACATCTAATATTTATAAATATACACATCTAAATAAATACCCAAGGGTACTTCCCAATTAACATGTCAGTCTAAATCCCAATACAAAAAAAGTGTATATATAGAAAGACAGACAGACAGACAGACAGACAGATAGATAGATAGATAGACAGATAGACCGATAGAACATATCTAGATAGATAACGTGATAGATAGGTAGATATAGATATAGATATATGATATATATATATATATACACCACATGTAGGGTTCCCACTGACACAAAATCTTGAGAGTGAATGTTTCTTTCTACTTACTTTAGGGTTCTCGCTGACATAAAATCTTGAGAGTGAATGTTTTATTTGGTTGATTTTAGGGGGTCTCACTGACATCAAATATTGAGAGTTATTTTTTTTGTTGACTTTAGGGTGGTCTCACTGACATAAAATCTTGAGAGCGAATGTTTCTTTCTACTGGCTTTAGGGTTCTCGCTGACATAAAATCTTGAGAGTGAATGTTTTTTTGGTTGATTTTAGGGTTCTCGCTGACATAAAATCTTGAGAGGGAATGTTTCTTTCTACTGACTTTAGGGTTCTCGCTGACATAAAATCTTGAGAGTGAACGTTTTTTATTTTAACTGGCTACCGGTTCCGTCTCCAGACAGCTCGAAGTGGAGCAGATGGGCTCAATGCCGCCAATACAACAGGGTGAGGTTCCTCCCTGGCAGCTGGTGCAATTTGATTTGGTCCTGGGTTGAGGTGCCATCTCAAAGGCATCAGGTCATTTGGAGGCAATGTCCCATTTGCAAGAGCACGTAAATATTGAGCAGCTTTTCTGGTAGAACTCGAGCCTCCGTGCAGGTTCTCAAAAACGGTCGCAAGGTCTTTCCAGGTTTGGGTCAAAGATGGAGCCAAATCCCGTTGTTGCATCATTCCTTGGATGTGCTTGGATAAACACTTTTGAAACCAAAATAGCAAATCCCAGGAGTGATGAAACAAGTTGAGGGAAACCAAATATGACAATCAGAGGTATACCAAGCCTGCTAATCAAAACAAATTTCTATCAGTGACAAGGGGAAAATTAGTTTTGCTCTCCGCGGGAAGCACCAGCATTGGAGGTTGACTTAATGTTTCAGAAGAGATGTATTCTTTCACGAGCACAAAAACGTCCAAGGGGTCTTTGGCACGGTTTGTTCTCCTTGCTTCGTCCAACTCGTAGTTTGGTGGTATATCTGCCAGGGAAGAAATTGACCCTGCTTGAAACTTCAAAATTACTTGTTTCATTTTTCAAAAAGAAAATATGAACACCTTGCCTTTGCGCAGCAGGAAGAAAAAAAAATGGTTTGCAGTTCGGTCCAGCAAGAGTCCGCCTTCCTGGTGTGATCTGAATTCAGAAAAATGTAAAACCATCTTAATTAAAAAACATTTGGTGGTAGAAACCAAAAACAATCCCCAGTGGAACAAACCTCAGAACCAAAAATAACCAAACATAAACCAATGAAAGTTCACACAAGCATCCAAATGCACAGGAGATTTCTGCAAAACATGATTGCGCCAGTCGCGGTACACCCGTAAAACATCAACAATGACCTTGCCATTGACGAATGCCCTCATGGATGGCTTCTGCAACTCATCCTTCAAAATGGATACCACAGAATCTGTATCCACCATGCTGGAACTTCTGCTCAACCTCCGACTCAGCAAGCCCCACAACTGATCTCAGTGGCTGTGTTTGTGGGAATTACATACCAGAAAAAAATGCATATACTTCTACTTGAAGTGGAGCTCATATGCAAGGAGTTTTCAAATAGAACTTGAACCAAAGTGTGAATCTGTAGACAGCAAAAACAAAAAGAAAAGCTATGTCTGAAGCACAGGAAAGATCCTATAACATCATGGGTATGTGAAACCCTCATCATCATCATCGCCATGTACCTTTGATCTATGAGTTTTTTGCTGAATCAAAAGTAAAAAAATAGGAAAATCAAAACAATCATCCCATTAAGAAAAAAATATACACGTGTAAAATGTAAAAAACGAGCATTGGCAAACCAAGTAACTTCAGACAATGGTTTTGCACCAGCTGTGCTGCATAAATGAGATTCGTCGAGTTTTTCAACTCTTTTACTGTATTGTCACCCACCACCACACAAGTGTGTGGTGGTGGGCGACCAGCCCTCCCACATTCAACCATCACATCCTCCAAAACAAGGGAGAGCAATTCCCTCACCATACTGCTTCCGTGAAAAGTGCGCTCTTCCAAAATGGCCACACGAAGAACATGGCCGAAAGCCCATGCAGCATGGATCTTCAATTTGGGTCGTTGAAACTTACTGCTCCTATAAGCAGCTCGCAAGTCTGGGTCCCGAGGTATTTGGTACTTTGCCTCATGCATGATGCTCATGGGCAACTTTAAAAAAACACATACTGTAATTTAAACTGTTTCCCTCCCTTCCCCACAGAAAAAAAGAACCAAGGTACTTGGTCTGCTCCATCGGTAGTGATGGTGATGGTTTGGGCCATGACGTCTGAGCTAATGTCTTTGAGTGCCCAATATGCGCAGCGATCAGCATATTGGGCAACCAAATGCTGCCTGTAAAGTTTCAGAGCACCCAGTCGGATGTCCATGGAAAGTGTGCGGTCCTGATACCTGAGACAGGAACACTTGCAAAAAAAGTATGGATCATGATAACGGAAAAAGACATCCAAAAAAGAAACATGTTGAAAATATCACTAGGAAAAATCTAAATCTGGAACATTAAGAATGAAACCCTTGTTTTCATTTTAAAAAAATGCATTCAAAACAAGTGCTGGCTGGTGGGCAAGAAACTGCTTTTTCAATTCCTGGCACACATCACACTGGCTGAACATTGACTTGTCGCGAAATTTTAGGATCAATGTCCACTTGGTATTCCATCTCCGCAAGAATGTTGGATACCTGAAGCTGCTGAGATCTAGAGACCAAGTAGGGTTGGGCAAGTAAGTAGGGGACGAAACACTGCAAAGTAACAAACAAAAGACTAACACTGCCCAAAACGACTAAGGCACGAAGCTTTCTCAAGAATGTTGTGGGTCGAACACCAGCTGATGTAGTACTGGTACAACTCGTACAATGTCCCTGGAGGTAAGTACTTCCTTGTCATTTTTGATAAGTCCTCGGTGTTGGGAAGTTGGAAAACTAGATTTTTCTTGCTATATATAAACTAAGTCAGTTGGCAAGAAAAGTTGCCAATTTGGGCCAAGCATCTGTCAGTCCACCAGTGCTGGACATTGCAAGCAGAAAGGAAGTGTTCGATTGCAGATACTGCACCAACTCCCCATCAGTCTCACCTTCCACTTCTGAAACACACGCAACATCATCGCATGAACTTGCATCTTCTGGATGGCTACCCTTTGCCCCTGGCCCCCATCGTTTCGCAGGTCCAACCCGAACCAGCCTCAGAACAACATCAATGAAACCAAAGCACTGACAAGAAGGAGGAAAACATTGAAACAACTACAGTAAACAAAAATTGAGTAATCAAGTCTGTTGCATGTAACTTGCTGGGCAGCGGCTCAGCCACAGAATTGTATAAGATGAGACAAAAGGAGTCAATAGACGCTCCCAATTTTGAAGGTTTGGAATCTTTCTGCCCAAAGCGTTGATCAATCACACCAATTTTGTCAATTCTGTGTGAAGATACACCAAGCAGAGCTTCAAAACATATTCTTTTCATGTACTTCCCCAGGAAAAAAAATTCACGGCGTGTAGACTTGGAAGTCCGGAGTTGTGGCCCATGCCCCTGCCCGGCATCAGACCATGCCAAGAAAAGAATAGTGTCTTGCTCCAATTTGGATCTCGCTTCAAAGGCATCAAGGAAATTCTTAGTCTCATCAAGGCCGAACTGCTGAAAGCAATTGCCCTCTGAGCATTTGCACGCCCCTCGTAAGAGCTTGGTCAAACGATCCTTTGCTTGCAAGTGGCTACACAAAAAAAAAAAGAACATCACAGAGACAACAACCTATGAAACGACATGGATACGCTTACAAAAAATTGGAAATTAAACCAAACAAGTATCAGTGTTATTTCTTGGGATCCTCTTGGTTTTTGAGCCTTGAGATTCCTTTAGTTGTTTCGATGCAGCTGCCTTCGCAGCCCGACCCCTGTTGTTGTAACGTCTTTTCTTGACAGGTTGTCCTGTAGAAGCTGTTGCTGAAATTTGGGAAAGCTGGGATTCCAAAAATTTCGTTAGTGTAGCAAAGTTCAACTGCACAAGCTCTTGGTACTTGTCCTTGTTTACATCCACTTCGCCATCAGCTAGACAGCCAGATGAATCTGAGTCACAGTCTGCTTCATCATCTTCATCTTGGAAAGGTTGTGGTGTGGACGATGGTTGTGATGGTTGAGAAGGCAAAAAACGATCATCAGGTTCATCACCTTCATCTTGAAGTGGAAACCAGTCAACCCGATCATTTTCTGCTTGGAAAAGGGCTGGACCATCTGGCTCATCAGGTTCTTCTTGAAACAATCCCATTGCACTGTGCACTGCGTGATCATATTGGTGTTTCAAAAGTTCAGGTCTATGTTTTTTCTAAGTTTCGAAGTTGTTCTTTTTCCCCTCCTTGGCATGGATATTTTTGATAGCTGTGGCTAATGCAAAAAGACTTGTTGTCTTTTTTCCTGGTGACAAAATTGGCTGGAGCTTTGAGCAAATAGTTTTGGGCAACCTGGGCAATGACTTGATCGAGTATTGCATTTTCTTGAAAACAGTCAGGTAAATGCTTTGTACCTGAGAGCGTCGCCCTTCTTGGGCTTCTTCGACTCACGGCACAAAGGATCCTGCACAAACAACTTTAAAAACATTTTTAGTGCCCTTATTTTTTCACAATCGAATGTTGAAAAGCAATGAAAAACCAACAGCTGACAAACCAATACACTGCCTTTGGCTCCAGGCAAAGGATGGCCTGGTAAATGCGAATCCAGATTTTAAGAAACTAAGACTGGGCTCAAAATTTCAAACTTGTCAGGTTGACTGTCATCAAGATGAAGCCCACGCATGGGACATCCATACCGTTTCCGGCCAGCTTGGCCTGTCAGTTGGAAACCAAAAAAGTTCGAAACTATTACTGTGTGTTGGTTGATATTTGCACGAAAAAGAACAATTTTCAAACCAGACCCGCCTTTGCAGAATTGTTGAGCTTCCCAAAGTCGACCATGGGCGAATTGCAGCCCGTTGCCAAAGACTCAGTGCAAGGCATACCCATTGCTGCCATCATCTCTGTGCCCATCAGTGGACGGCAATGTTTTTGACTCCACCTAGGTCAAAAACAGTTTGCCTTTTATGGGCCAAAAAACAGTAACTATTTTGTTTTGATGTTTGGGTGCAAAATTATTTCAAGGACAAAAGTGCCAAAAACATGAAAGTTGTCGAGCAGCAAGAGGCTACTTGAAGTGGTGAATGTTGGCAATGAGCCATCGTTTGTGCTTACACGTCCACGCTTCACGTCCGGGTGTGGATTTTGGGAAAGGTCCTTAAACAAGTTGATTGATGGATGAAAACATCTCACTGTTTGGCGTTTGGGGCTGTATCTAATTTACTGGCTTTCTATCTCACCCATAGGGGGGAACAGATCTTTCGAAAATCAAAATCAGACTATATATATAATCTCTTGCCACGGCACAAAGACCATGCGATCCCGAAAATGACACTCATATAGTGATTTGAAGTCTCCAGCTGAGCTCGGCAAATGGGGAGAGAAGCTGCCCTTCACACCAGATTCTTTTTCCTTAGCTGCTCACCGTTTTTTTGAGAAACTCTTTAGTTCTGCCATCAGGCATTTTCATCCCAAAACTCACAACAAAAAAAACAAAAATAAGCTGAATCAAGTAGTGGTACCACTTCTGCCGCAGTCATGAAATACATATCATCAGCTGAAAGCTTCAGAGGTTGATGCGGGGCAACGAGTTTGAGGATTGCTCGCAGTGGTGGTCCACGCCATGTGTACTTAGAAGTGTCATAGAAAATCCTGTAGGCTCTTGGCCTAGGCAAGGGTTGCCCCCTCATCACAAAACATATTCATAGTATGTTTTTGTCATTTACTTCTTTTAAACATTAAAACCAAATTACACTTTTTCACCATGCTGGCCTGTTCATGGGCTTTCCGAACCTCTGTGGTGACACCACGGTGCTTTGGTTGCCGTAGCCGAGAGGTTTGAAGGTGTCCTCCAGGTACTCCCCCGGGAATTTTAAGACATTCTCATGGATGAACCAACCAAGCCTCAGGTCCCCATGTTTAAGCTGAAGCGAAGGGGCTCTTGAAACTAAAGAAGCAAAAACAGTTTTGAACAAAACCACACCAGTATATAAAAGGTCTTCTACTTCTCAAACACCCAGGGGCCGTCGATCAACTTTGTCTTTGACCCAGACGTCGTGACAAACTTTCTTTTGCTTGTTGTTGAACCCTTCCTTCTTGCCCATCCTGCCAGTTTGAAAACTAACATAAAAACTAGGATATTTTGTTATTGTCACTATTTTCTTGGTCTGGGAGGGTAAAAAAACAAGGAACCAAAACCACGCAAATTTCAAAACAAGGGTCTGGGAGAAAAGGATGCACGGAGGTCCATCCACACCAGATTCCTCCATGTCACCATCCACAGTAGGGGTTCGAGGACACTTCTTCTCGTGGGTCAAGCACTGCACTGATGGTGCCTGGCACGATGCTGCAAAGAATGCAAACAAGTCTAAAGAACCAAAAACCCAAAAAAATATCAAAAAATGCCAAACATTTTTTTCTTTTTGCTCTTTCTCTCAAAATGCCAAAGTACCAGCCGCATCTTCTTCAGTTCCGCTTTGGGGTTCGAAACAAACTGCTCAATGTCAGAAAACACGCACCGGTCTTTGAAATTCCGCTTGATGAACCTTTCAGGGGTAAGAGACCTTCACAGTAAACAACTTGTTGATACTAAAGGGTTTTGTTTTTACTCCAAAAAGTTACCCACAACATTTGTGAAACATTTTTGTCCGCAGTAAACATAAGCCAAGTAACTCCCTTGATGCCTTGGAAATGTCACATGCTCGACCAGTCAACCATGCAAGTCGGATCCCGTACCTGTCAATGGCAGGCGCTTTTCAAACTTTTGGTTTTTGGTTTTGAAAAGGAAACTATGTTTAAAGCACCCGCTGGATGTTAAATAATCAAGATGCCGGCGGCGAATCGCAGTCTCAATGAGCACCAGGGCTGCATGTGGAAAATCAGCACCAGTAAAGAAGCTGTCAATGTGGAACTTGGCTTCGGACATGCGCTTTTTCACCGTATCCACCCCAAACAAAAGCCTGGTCATTGGGTTATAGGTCAGATAACATAGGGGTTTTGGGTAAGTCCCATCCACAAATCTTTATTTTTTTTGCTGGGACGTATCCAAGATCAAAATCTTGCGCTCATCCAAAAAATTGCCAAGTCTCTCAAAGCGAACCAGTAAAGTGCTCGCCCACTGAAAGAGCATAGGGTAAGAGTCAGGTGCCGCGGGCCTCACATGAGACCCCAATAGTGTCAAAAAGCAAAAACAGACCCCAGAAATTGTAGAAAAAATATGGAAACTCACAACCCAGTACCAGCACAACGCCCAGTAACGGAGGAGGCATCAACTTTGCCAATCTGGGATCTGGATCATCTACTCTGTCATCATCGTAGTCTCCAAAGACCCCCTTCCTACCTCAATGGCTTGAAACTATCAAGGTTCTGATGGGAACAGCTCTCAATCAACTATAGCCCCACAAAGAAAAAACTAAAACATCAACCAAAACATCAACCATAATCAAGACATGTCGAAACACCAAGCTCTTTGTCTTTGTCGTGAGATTGTCCTTCGTCTGGCTCATCTTGGAAAAGCTGCAAACCATCCTCCAGGGCGAAAGCTGTAAACTATGAAAATTCAAATAAATTTAAAACCCTTTTTTTTGACCACCCTGTCCTCTGATCCTGAATCAAAAAGGCATCGTCCACGGCGTGGCATGGCAGTTGCAGAGCCACCCAAAAAATACACTACTAAGTACTGTGGGCCCAAAACCATAAAGGAAGTAGATTTCATGTTTTTTGTCAATGGTTCAACCAGGTTGGGTTCCGCATCTCTTATTGTGATGATTGATACCCAAAAAAAGTCTTGAAGAAGCGCAGATCCGCTATTGTTTCCCCACAGCTGCCAAAAGCTAAATCGCCAGCATCCCATCAGCCATGAAACTGCCAAAATCCTTGGAATTTCATAGCGTAGGTTCATGGGAGAAATGGGACTATTGAGGGGAAAGGAAAGTAAAAGTCTTATTGTAAGGTTCTGACAAGGTGCAGTAGTACCAAGGGTCAGCCACATCCCACATACGACTGCGCAGATCACCGGGAGGTAGAAACTCTGCCCAAGAACTCTGCCTTAGATACCAAGCAGGAAAATGAGGAGATAAATAACAGAACGAGTGGGACACGTATTGGGAACAAAAACTAAACTTTCACATATTCCACAGCTGGGGGGACTCAATATCAACCTGATCTTCATGGTTAACGAATCGCAGCTTTGAAAGGCGATACCCAGTCAAACATTTCCTCCCCTCCGCATCGAGATAGATAATGGCAAGGCCCCACGGCTCTTGGCGAAAAACTTCCATCTGAAGGGAAACCATGAGCTTCTGTGGCAGGGTGCGGTTGGACTCTGTCAGGTTGTAGGCTTTGTACTTAGTCAGGGACTCTGTAAAAACTGTTGCTTCCAAGCATTGTTTGGATAAACTATTTCCATCTATTTCCAATGGAATGAATAGGTTGAAGATCCATTCAAAACTCAAAACATGGTTGAAGATGAACAGAAGGATCAAACATATGGAACAACACCTAAAGACCAAACATGTTCTGGATAAGACCTAACGTGACCCAACATAATCAGTCAAGAAACATCCACGTATTTTTGATAAACTTGTTGCAGTGCAACATTCTCGTGGCACCCAATTTCCGGTAGCTTTACCCATTTTTCCTCTTCCAAGAGATCCCACAAGTTGGAATAGGTCTCCTCCGTCTCCGTCATGATCCTAGTCTGACTATCATATCGAAATCGTGGAATCAGACCGTTGTAGGGCCACAACATACCTTAGCAACATTGTGATCAGTATTCGGAAACGTTTCCCATTTACATATTTTGTTCCCCCCCCCAAAAAAAAACATATTCCAGAAAAAAAAGTGGAAACCAGGATGCCAAGATAAGTCCGGCATGGTTTTACCTGTGTTAGGCGGACACCTTCAACAGGGCTAGGAGGCTTTCCAAGGTTCTGGATGATATTTTCGAGAATCGGGTTGTCACACCATGGCTTGCTCAGCTCTTTGGCTTTTTTTTTGGGTGGCGGCATGTTGCCGGTTTGATCCACTTGGCAGCCTTTTTTTCGGACTGAAGCAAGTGTCCAACCAGTGGCCCCCACATGGGATGTGATTCGTTTTTTTGGTGGGATTCTGATGGAAGCAATTAAGTACATAATATAATTTACTTAGATATTTTGGGGTGACGCACCACACCAACCAACTTCCCTGTGAGTTTCTGTGAGCTGGAAATAAAGATGAATTTTTGGGTTCACCCACTGTAGTATTGTTTGTGCCACATCTATATCTATATCTATAATAATCTATATCTATAGATATCGGTATAAGTATAATATATATATATATATAATACATATTTGTACATTATGAACTGCAACTTGGGTGGCGCTGCAACTTTGCGCTGCAAAGCTTTGCCCCTGTGGCTTGCAACTTTTGTGCTGCAAAACTTTGTCCCTCTGGCTTGCAACTTTGTGCCGCAAGACTTTGTCCCTCTGGCTTGCAACTTTGTGCTGCAAAGCTTTGCCCCTGTGACTTGCAACTTTGTGCTGCAAAACTTTGTCCCTCTGGCTTGCAACCTTGTGCTGCAAAGCTTTGCCCCTGTGACTTGCAACTTTGTGCTGCAAAACTTTGTCCCTCTGGCTTGCAACCTTGTGCTGCTTTGTCCCTCTGGCTTGCAACTTTGTGCTGCAAAACTCTGTCCCTGCTTGCAACTTTGCAGTTTTGCTTTGCTTTTTGTTGCTGCAGGCCTTTGCCCCGGTGACCTGAAACTTGCACTCCGTAGAGCTTTGTATCTTCAGCATTGACAGCTGATTGAAATGAATTGACAGCTAGTTGCCATGAAATTAACTTCGTAATGTATGTAATGTATGTAATGTATGTAATGTATGTAATGTATGTAATGTATGTAATGTATGTAATGTATGTAATGTATGTAATGTATGTAATGTATGTAATGTATGGTATGTATGGTATGTATGTATGTATGGTATGTATGGTATGTATGTATGTATGGTATGTATGGTATGGTATGGTATGGTATGGTATGTTATGGTATGGTATGGTATGGTATGGTATGTATGTATGTATTAATGTAATGTAATGTATGTATGTATGTATGTATGGTAATGTAATGTAATGTAATGTAATGTAAATGTAATGTAATGTAATGTAATGTAATGTAATGTAATGTAATGTAATGTAATTAATGTATGTATGTATGTATGTATGTATGTATGTATGTAATGTAATGTAATGTAATGTAATGTAATGTAACGTAATGTAATGTAATGTATGTATGTATGTACGTATGTATGTAATGTAATGTAATGTAATGTAATGTAATGTATGTATGTATGTATGGTAATGTAATGTAATGTAATGTAATGTAATGTAATGTAATGTAATGTAAGTATGTATGTATGTATGTATGTATGTAATTAATGTATGTATGTATGTAATTAATGTATGTATGTGTGTAATTAATGTATTAATGTATGTATGTATGTATGTATGTATGTAATTAATGTATGTATGTATTTATGTATGTATGTATGAATATTTATTCTCTATAAAATTGTTCTGCTCATATATTGCTGATATTGGCTGATTAAAGCCAACCCCTTAGTTGTGGTCAGTCGAAATTCCAACAAAGACTTGACACAACGGCGTTGCACAACGGTTTAACCTGGACAACATCAGAGATCATGTTCAATCTATTTCAATCTCAAGATCCGAGTCCAGATGATCGGTGTCCTTTTGTAAAAACAACTGTATCCATTGTCAACCCATTTGGGGAAAAAAGTTGAGGGTATCTCTATAGGTTGAAAATTTGGAACCCGCACGGCCCGCAACAAAAACATCAGTTTATGTAGTGAAATGGCAATTTGGATCAATTTGTCGTTACCGCCCATTTCGAGACAAACCCACATGCTCTTTCATATGGGCGTTTCCTAAGATGGGGAACCCCAGAATCATCCAAAATAAATCAGTTTTGGTAGGGAAACCTATAGTTTTGGGGCACCCCAATTTCGGGAAACAGCCTAATATCCCAATTTTTCGTGCGTCGAGAAGTCCAGGCAACCTAATCATTGTTGGGATTTACCCATCTATGACCATGTTTGAGTAAGGACATGTGGTTTTAGAACCATGCGATTTTAGGGGATAGCCGGATAGCCTATTTTCAGAGCCATTTGTGGGATGTTCATCGGCAGGGGGGTTCCCCGATTCAAGAAGTGAAGCAGAAATCAGCGTGGGCCTCAACGGGTGACAACGAAGGTCGGCAACCCATAACAGTAACAATACCATTGTTTTGGTTTACCCTCTGGTAATTTAACATAACTATTGAACATGGCCATTTATAGTTGATTTACCTATTAAAAATGGTGGTTTTCCATAGCTATATTAGTTTGCCAGAGGGTATACAGCTTTAAAACTTCGGGTGTATTGTTAAGTTTACACACACACACATTTCCACACGTCGTTGCGCACAATTGACTTTGGTGGGAGGATTACATGGTGACTTTGTGCATATTCTGAGGAACTGACCAAATGGGGTATGGGCTGTATGGATTGTTAATCAATTTATTCTTGGGATGGGCATCAACTACCGTTGTCTGCTGATGATAACCTCAGTTGTTTAGGGATCCCCAAGGCTGCCAAATTCTGCGTGGCTCAGGTGCCATCTCAGCAAAAAGCAGAGACCAAGCTTCAAGCGCGGCACTTAGTATTTTTCCCTGGTGGTGGAGTGGAATTTTCTCTGCGCATAGAAAATCCCAACAAACGGGATGATACCCAATTGGCTAGCCTCGAAATCACCATGGTTTTCCTAGGTGAATCATCAAACTAAATGGAACATGGCTTCCACAGCTAGGCAAAATTCCAAGAGGGCAAAGACCTTTCAGAGAGGCTGAAACCACCAATCCAGCTGATGTTCAAAACGAAAGGTCCAGCCCGAGCAGAAAGAAGACTTCAAGGCTGGAAAAATGTCTCTAAACATTCACAGCTGAGTGGCATGGGAACTGATGAGAACGGGTTGATGGGACTGTTTGTTAATGTGTATATACTATGTCTATATAATGTACATTATCTATATGTATTTATGTATGTAATATGCATACATATATAATATATATACACATTTACATATATATATATATATACACATCTACATATCTACATATATTTTTACATGCACATATTTGTGTATATATATATAGACCCATATGTCGTTATTTATATATTACAGAGACAGAGAGATAGAGAGAGAGATCTTCGCAGGAAACATTGGATGGTACCACCAGCCGCCAGCTTCGTTTCTGAAGGCGAGCAAGGTTTCCTCATCTTCATCTGGCCCCATGCGGAAGGCGGAGATACATTTTGGTCATGTTAGGTGCGGAAGGTGCCTGAAAATTGGGGATACCACCCCAAATACATGAAGATCAAGTGGTCAAAGTGGTCCTAAAGGCCATGGATGTTGAACAGTTTGGCGCGGTGTGTTTTCTTGAGCCGATCCAGATTACTTTTTGTGCTTGAGGTGGGTGAAAGTTAATTCAGTTCTGTTACGTCACGTTTTGTCATGTTCTGGCAATTCTGGCAATCTCATCAAAGGTGTAGCTTCAGAGATGCATTAGGATGCAAACGATTCATTGTTTTTTTCTCTTGATAGATTGAATATGCTATCTTTCTTCCCCAGTGCAGCTAGCCAGAGCTGAAGTGTTTAGGTGCCATCCACGGCCAAAGAGGTGTGCGCCCTCAGCAACATTTTGATACCTATGTGGATGGATCATTGGGCTACCAGTGGACCCCATTTTGGTTATTTTTGTGAACCATCCATTTCTTGGGGATTTTGTGGGGAGTTTATCCCCTACCTACACAGCTAGCATCCCCTTCTAGTTGCAAAGGTCGCCATGGTGCAAAGGTTATCAAAGGTTTGTTGGTTCCCTTGGTTCCCTCCGCCCGGACAGCATTGCTGGCTTGGTGGCTTGGTGTTTGGATTTTCTGAGGTTCAGTCTGAGAAAAAGGCCAAAGCCAAGATGGAATTGATTGGGTTCGAGAATGATATCCTCTTGTTTTGTGATAGCCATGTGATGGGATGGGCATATGAGCCTCATAGGAGCCGCATATAGATCATATAGGTCACACGTCCAGGAAGCACTGATAGTATGACACCATGATGACACCATGTTTTTTTTGCGTATGATTTTAACCCTGCCCTATGGTTTGTACACAGTTTGTTGGCTATAAGGATTTGTACTGCCAATATTGGCACCCAAAGCAACACAGGGCCTGTCAAGAAAGTAGTCACTTCCTGCTGGTCATTTCTTATAACCAATATCAGCAATTCTACCCATGCAGGCCAGGTGATGTCATTCCCAGAATTGCTGTTTGGGAAAATCTGCGGGAAACGCCAAACGCCTATATATCCCTATATCATATATGTGTTCTGTAAAAAGAACATGTTCCTGTAATTTTCCCTTCATCCAAATCCATTGACATTCCCAAATGCCTCGTGTTGAACAGGGCATTGCCCACCGTTCTTCATCATTTGTTGATACTTAAAGCATCATTTTGATGGATAGATCCTGAAATTCCAGTCCTGCTATTTACCAATCCAAGTCCTGGTGGTTTTTACCAAGTCCTGGCTTTCTTTCACTGTGCCACATGGCTGGAGAGGTCTCTAGTTGGAGAAGTGCCACTTGGCCTGCGGTCTTGATGAACTGCTGAGAAGCTGATGACTGGGATGATTGGGAAGGTAGGTCGAGAAGGGCGTGAAATTCATACCTTTGAGAAGGAGGAATTTGGCTTGTTACATATAGATACATATAGGATATTTCAGAGTATCAAAGAATATCCATAGATTAATTCAGTCCCTTTTTGCTGCTTGGTGCTTTTTTGTACATGGCTTTTTTATGATTTTCCCATCATATTGGGAATGGAAAATCATCCCAACTGACGAACTCTGGCCGTGCGTTGAACCCAACGTTAAGGCTCCAAGTGCCGAAGTCTGGCGCCCTGAGAGCCGTATGGAGGTGCTGTGCATTCTCGAGCTGTGGTTCTGTGTCAACCGGACTCCTGTTGCTTGATGATTGTAGGGTTATAGTGGTTTATAGTGAGTGGTTTATACATGTTTATACATGTTTATGGATGTGTTTACATGTTTATACTGGTTTGTACATGTTTATACTATCGATGATCATCATCCATTTTTTTAACTGGGATTGTTTACGAACCAAGCAGTATTTCATGGATGTTGCGGCCGGCGGGTCACACTGCTCGGCTCGTTGCTTCTGACTCCAGGTGGATAGCAAAAAGAGAGTCGTGCTGAGCCTAGCTGCGAATGATGCAACCCAAAGATGACGCTGCAATGATACCCTTCCATATTTAACATATATACAATATATATAATATATATATATAATATATATTGGTTCATATCTGACTAAAAATTCATTCATATTGTATCATTGGCTATCATCAATATTATTGGATGCAAATCATTATCAATATGATCTATAATGTGGGTAAAACAATCATCAACCATCCCCCAGTCATCACCATAAATAGGTGGGATTGAAACTATTCCCAAATATATTTTTTTAAAATTGTTTTACCCACATTAATATAGTTCATATATGATTAAAATGAGTCGTATTTTCCGGCCAGTGAAGTGGGACATTGGTGGACGGAGTGAAAAGTTGTCCGTCATTAGTCCGTCATTAGTGCCATGCTGCCATGGGATTGCAAGCATCACATGCCTTTGTGAATCTGATTGGTGGAGATGATGTAGACCCACTAGTTGCGTGATGTTTTTCAGTGGTATCAAGATGCGAGGCATTGTGGTTGCGACAGTGCCAAGTTTGTAGATGTTAGCTATACTATACCGTTCAATATTCATTATCACATATTATCACTGTAGTCTCAATGACTCCTCTTGGTTGCTTGGCCCTAGCATCTTGACAGATGACAGATTTGGAAACAGCACCACTTTGACTCAAACCTGTCAAGGTGCCAACGCCATCAAAAAAAGATGTCAAGGCAATGGCAGTCCTCGGCTCAATGATGAAGGTAACCCCAAAACTGCATGGCTGACTATGAAGACTGATGAGATTATAGATGTGTTGTTTTTGTTTTCCCTTGGAAACTACTAGCCAGCCCATTATTATAACCCATTCTCGAATCATTGCCAAAGAATGTGACAGGGCGAGCACGAGACAACGCAAGAAGTCAAGGCGAGGCTAGCAGCCGCAACTCTCTCGCAAATCTTTGGAACATTTGACATGATATGAGATTATGATGATATGATTATATTATATGATGTGATATCATATGATATGGTTTGATATGATCAAAAGATATTTGATATACCTAATATTTATGGCAGATATGATGAGAAATGCGAGATTGTGCGAGTATCTACCCTGTTTATCCCTTTTTGATAGTTTTGAAATTGCCTTGGAGTGCTGAGCAATCCCCGATATTACCAGACACGGCTTGTATAAACTAAAACCAAACGAAAATTGGAGGTTTAGTAACAGGGTTTTCAACATTACACTTCTGTATCTTATGTTGATTTATTTTATTTTATTTTGTCATCTATTCTCTTGTAATTATTCTATTTGAACATGTACCTACCATTTGATTTGGTTGATAGTGAGATACTCTAGCAGGAATACTTCCTCATCGGCAATGAATGTCTCACAAGACTGGGCAGGTGTGGAAACCCGTCCCTTGGCCGCATTTCTCGGGCCAATGAGGCTGACAGGAATGGTGCCAAGGGACCTTTGGATCTGGTCCTATGAAGGAGCACCAGCCGACCAGCCACTGCAGGTTGAAACTCCAAAAGAAGAAGAAAAGGCAAAAACGGTTCCGGACTCAGTCTTGTGTTGCTATGCACTATTGTACTGCTACTTGGCCATAATTTGTTGATACATGTTGCTACAGTTTTGATGGGAACATGGGCAACATGGTCAATCAGCTTCTTTGTTATCTTTGTTGCCTAGGCCGAACCAAAACAAGAGGCCAAGGCAAAGTATCTCTTGGGATTGGGAGACACGGGTCTAGAGTTTGGCGTGGTGTGGGCCAATGTTGCAATAGAGTGTGAAGCCTTTCGTAGCATCACAAAACTTACAATGAAGTCGTATTATGTCATTCATGACTACTACTCAATAGTACTCTGTCATTTTTGGCAATGTTTTGTAAGGGCAACAGGAGTGGATGCATTCCGATGCATTCCCATGCATTGTAACACTTGGACCTTTAGGACATGCTCCATAAATTGTCAAACAGTGCTGAAGGTGGCCCGAAATGTTGCTTGAGAATTAGTTAGTATTGCAACACAGTTGTCCACTTTCTGAGAAGTGTTCCGTTAGCATTTTGCAATATTTTGCAGCATGTTTCCATAGAAAAGCAGATGAAGCTGCAGAGGGTATATGCATGCTAGATATGCTAGAAGCAAAGACGTAGCAGGTTCGATTACCCATACCTGCTTTTGCGATCTTTTGCGCAGGTATGGAGACCTGTCACTCGGCGGAGTTTATCCTGATTTCTTTTCACTGCGGCGAAGTCACCAACTGAATTTATCTGAATGAAATGGAGTGTGAGGTTCCAACATGTTTCTCTCTTGAAAGCTTTAGACACTCGCGAGCAGGGAAGTTATTGGTTGAAGAATACCTGTTTACCATCACAATCATCACAACAGTACAACACCATCTGAGATTGCGAGTGACTTGTAATCAGGTAGGGATGATGCAGTTGTTGGTGTGGAAGAGATTGTGCGAATCACACGTCCTAACCTTCTGAAGGAGTCAAGAGTTGACTCTATTAAATAATATTTGATACAGGTTGAATTTGTTTGCAAACAACAGACATTTACATCATTGCAGAATGCTCACTCTAGACTAGATGGTCCAAAGATCTCGGAGAGTCCGAGAGAGACAGTGTGCAATTAATCAGCGATTCTGCATGTGTCCACGCCAACCATTTGAGAATGTGAGAAGCTACTTTCTGACTAAGCCTCTTGACCTTGGAAGAGAAATACAATTTTCAAATCTTGGTTCGGTCTCTATGATTTTAGGTGTGCCTTTGTTGCATTGTGTGCGGGTGGTATCACTGTATATAGGCAGTTTCATGGCATATCATGGCATGAAAGCTGCAGGTTGAAACTCCAAAAGAAGAAGTCAAGGCAAAAACGGTTCCGGACTCAGTCTTGTGTTGCTATTCACTATTCTACTTGGCCATACTTTGTTGATAGATGTTGCTGCATGTTTGATGGGAAAATGGGCAACATGGTCAATCAGCTTGTTTGTTGCCTAGGCCGAACCAAAACAAGAGGCCAAGGCAAAGTATCTCTTGGGATTGGGAGACACGGGTCTAGAGCTTGACGCGGTGTGGGCCAATGTTGAGCCCGACATACATCAATAGAGTGTGAAGCCTTTCGTAGCATCAGAAAACATAAAATGAAGCCATATTATGTCATATTCATGATTTGTACTACTACTGAATACTAATTACTCTGTAATATTTGGCATGTTTTCTTAAGTGCAACAGGAGTGGATGCATTCCGATGCATTCCCATGCATTGTAACACTGGACGACCACTCGCTTGTACTCGTGAGTGTCCCCCCCGCTTGTACACGTGACTTTCTCCTCGCTTGTGCACGTGAGTTTTCCGCCAGATGGCGACGATCTTACCGTGTAGCAGCAAGTGTGTCGAACATGCACCAGAAGATCTAACACTATATGTAGCATGACGGCTTGCTGCGATTGTTCTCCAACATGTTTGGATGTTTTAGCATTGATGACTGCTTGGGCTTCTGAACTTCCACCCATGAACCTTTGAGAGTGTCGTTGAAGAAAAGATCTTACAGAGTAGCATCAAGTGTGTAGCATATGCAACAGAAGTTCTAACACTGTAGCATGACGGCTTTCTGCAGTTGCAATCCAGCATGTCTAAGCATTGACTGCTGCTTGGACCATTGTACTTCCACCGGTCAGGAGTAGACCATTTGCCCCATCAAGTGCTTAGGTATATCCCAATACATCTCAGTCATCAAGAGGGGAAGATTAACAAAAATGATTTAGCATGTAGCCCATTGCTTTGTAGGGCCGAGGGGGGGGAAGATTTTAGCATGTAGCCCATTGCTTTGTAGGGCTGAGAGGGGAAAATTTAATAAATGTTAGGGCACAGGGGGGAAAGATGAGGGGAGGATTTTAATAATGACTTAGCATGTAGCCAATTGCTTTGTAGGGCAGACGGGGGGAAGATTTAAATAATGGCTTAGCATGTAGCCCATTGCTTTGTAGGGCAGCGGGGATGAAGATTTAAATCATGATTTAGCATGTAGCCCATTGCTTTGTAGGGCAGAGGGGGGGAAGATTTAAATCATGACTTAGCGTAGCCCATTGCTTTGTAGGGCAGAGGGGGGGAAGATTTAAATCATGACTTAGCGTAGCCCATTGCTTTGTAGGGCAGGGGGGGAAATTTAAATAAAGACTTAGAATGTAGCCCATTGCTTTTTATGGCAGAGGGTGAAGATTTAGAGAAGGACTCAGCATGTAGCCCATTGCTTTGTAGGGCAGAGGGGAAGAAGACTTAGATAATTATTGAGCATGTAGCCCATTGCTTTGTAGGGCAGAGGGGAGGAATATTTAAATAATGATTTAGCATGCTGATCATGGCTTTGCTGGGCAGAGGGGGGGAAGATTTAAATGCTGGCTTAGCATGTAGCCCATTGCTTTGTAGGGCAGCGGGGATGAAGATTTAAATCATGATTTAGCATGTAGCGCATTGCTGTAGGGCAAAGGGGGGAAGATTTAAATAATGATTTAGCATGTAGCCCATTGCTTTGTAGGGCAGAGGGGAGAAGATTTAAATAATGACTTAGCATGTAGCCCATTGCTTTGTAGGGCATAGGGGGGAACGATTTATATAAATAACAGAACGGCAGCCCCTGGGAGTGCAGTTTTCCCATGATTTAAGATGATATTTTGAGATGTTTTACTGATGTTTTACTGCACTCCCAAAGGCACTTTGACAGCTTTGCCTGTGATTCATGCCAGTTTCCTTGAAAACCTAAACCCCAAAAAAACAAAACAAAACACAAGAAAAACAAAAACAACAATATTTCTAGACTCTTTGGAAAGAGGGTTTGGTATCAAAACTTATGAAACAGCGCAATCCCACAGCCTGCCGCTCTCTTAAATAAAGACTTAGCATGCAGCCCATTGCTTTGTAGGGCCGAGCGGGGTAAGATTTAAATAATGACTTAGCATGCTGATCATTGTCTTTTGGGGGGATGGCAAAATATGTGTGCGCAGGTGACGGGAAAGTAGGTGTGCATGTGCGCAAGTGAGGGGATGTGCGCAAGTGAGGGGAAAGTTGTGTGCGCAAGTGAGGGGTTTGCCACAATACTTGGACCTTTAGGACATGGTCCATCAATTGTCAAGCAGTGCTGAAGATCGCCCCAAACATTGCTGGAAAATTAGTTTGTACTGCATAGAAGAGCAGCTGAAGCTGCAGAAGGAATATGCATGCTAGATGTGCTAGAAGCAAAGAGGTAGCAGGTTCGATTACCCATACCTGCTTTGGCGCAGGTATGGAGACCTGTCACTCGGCGGGGTTTATCCTGTGATTATCTGATTCGTTTTCACTGCGGCGAAGTCACCAACTAAATTTATCTGAATACCATGAAGTGTGGGTGCAAATGCAAAGGTCCCAACAATTTTCTTTCTTGAAAGCTTTAGACACTCGCGAGCACGGAAGTTATTGGTTGACGAATACCTGGTTACCATCACAATCATCACAACAGTACAACACCATCTGAGATTGCGAGTGAGTTGTAATATGTTGTAATCAGGTGGCCATGATGCAGTTGTTGGTGTGGAAGAGATTGTGTGAACCACACCTCCTACACTGCTTAAGGAGTCAAGAGCTGACTCTGTAAGATTCTATAAGTGCAGAGATATAAATCGCTGTTGAATGCTGTGAGGGGAAGCAAGACCCCAGAAGGACAGTGTGCAAGTAGTCAGCAATTCCACATGTGTCCACCCTGACCATTTCTGACTAAGCCTTTTCTGACCTTCGAACAGAGAAACGACTCACAAAGCTTAGTTTAGTCTCTACAAGTTTTTACATTTTGATGTTGTACCGTTGCATCGTGTGTCATTTCATTGCATGAAAGCTGCAGGTTGAAACTCCAAAAGAAGAAGTCAAGGCAAAAACGGTGCCGGACTCAGTCTTGTGTTGCTAGTCACTATTCTAATTGGCCATACTTTGTTGATAGATGTTGCTACAGTTTTGATGGGAACATGGGCAACATGGTCAATCAGCTTGTTTGTTGCCTAGGCCGAACCAAAACAAGAGGCCAAGGCAAAGTATCTCTTGGGATTGGGAGACACGGGTCTAGAGCTTGACGCGGTGTGGGCCAATGTTGAGCCCAACATACATCTATAGAGTGTGAAGCCTTTCGTAGCATCAGAACACTTAAAATGAAGTTATATTATGTCATATTTATGATTTGTACTACTACTGAATACTAATTACTCTGTAATATTTGGCATGTTTTCTTAAGTGCAACAGGAGTGGATGCATTCCGATGCATTCCGATGCATTCCGATGCATTGCAACACTTGGGCCTTTAGGACATGGTCCATGCAGTGTCAAGCAGTGGTGAAGATAGCTCCAATTAATTGTTGCTGGACAATGAGTTCGTAACGCAATTGTCCACATTCTGACAAGTGTTTCCTGTTTCCTGAACATTTTACGGCATGTTTCCATAGAAGAGCAGCTGAAGCTGCAGAAGGAATATGCTAGATGTGCTAGAAGCAAAGAGGTAGCAGGTTCGATTACCCATACCTGCTTTGGCGCAGGTATGGAGACCTGTCACTCGGCGGGGTTTATCCTGTGATTATCTGATTCGTTTTCACTGCGGCGAAGTCACCAACTAAATTTATCTGAATACCATGAAGTGTGGGTGCAAATGCAAAGGTCCCAACAATTTTCTTTCTTGAAAGCTTTAGACACTCGCGAGCACGGAAGTTATTGGTTGACGAATACCTGGTTACCATCACAATCATCACAACAGTACAACACCATCTGAGATTGCGAGTGAGTTGTAATATGTTGTAATCAGGTGGCCATGATGCAGTTGTTGGTGTGGAAGAGATTGTGTGAACCACACCTCCTACACTGCTTAAGGAGTCAAGAGCTGTCTCTGTAAGATTCTATAAGTGCAGAGATATAAATCGCTGTTGAATGCTGTGAGGGGAAGCAAGACCCCAGAAGGACAGTGTGCAAGTAGTCAGCAATTCCGCATGTGTCCACCCTGACCATTTCTGACTAAGCCTTTTCTGACCTTCGAACAGAGAAACGACTCACAAAGCTTAGTTCAGTCTCTACAAGTTTTTACATTTTGATGTTGTACCGTTGCATCGTGTGTCATTTCATTGCATGAAAGCTGCAGGTTGAAACTCCAAAAGAAGAAGTCAAGGCAAAAACGGTGCCGGACTCAGTCTTGTGTTGCTAGTCACTATTCTACTTGGCCATACTTTGTTGATAGATGTTGCTACAGTTTTGATGGGAACATGGGCAACATGGTCAATCAGCTTGTTTGTTGCCTAGGCCGAACCAAAACAAGAGGCCAAGGCAAAGTATCTCTTGGGATTGGGAGACACGGGTCTAGAGCTTGACGTGGTGTGGGCCAATGTTGAGCCCAACATACATCTATAGAGTGTGAAGCCTTTCGTAGCATCAGAACACTTAAAATGAAGTTATATTATGTCATATTTATGATTTGTACTACTACTGAATACTAATTACTCTGTAATATTTGGCATGTTTTCTTAAGTGCAACAGGAGTGGATGCATTCCGATGCATTCCGATGCATTCCGATGCATTGCAACACTTGGGCCTTTAGGACATGGTCCATGCAGTGTCAAGCAGTGGTGAAGATAGCTCCAATTGATTGTTGCTGGACAATGAGTTCGTAACGCAATTGTCCACATTCTGACAAGTGTTTCCTGTTTCCTGAACATTTTACGGCATGTTTCCATAGAAGGGCAGCTGAAGCTGCAGAAGGAATATGCATGCTAGATGTGCTAGAAGCAAAGAGGTAGCAGGTTCGATTACCCATACCTGCTTTGGCGCAGGTATGGAGACCTGTCACTCGGCGGGGTTTATCCTGTGATTATCTGATTCGTTTTCACTGCGGCGAAGTCACCAACTAAATTTATCTGAATACCATGAAGTGCAAATGCAAAGGTCCCATAATTTTCTTTCTTGAAAGCTTTAGACACTCGCGAGCACGGAAGTTTTCGGTTGACGAATACCTGGTTACCATCACAATCATCACAACAGTACAACACCATCTGAGATTGCGAGTGAGTTGTAATATGTTGTAATCAGGTGGCCATGATGCAGTTGTTGGTGTGGAAGAGATTGTGTGAACGACACCTCCTACACTGCTTAAGGAGTCAAGAGCTGTCTCTGTAAGATTCTATAAGTGCAGAGATATAAATCGCTGTTGAATGCTGTGAGGGGAAGCAAGACCCCAGAAGGACAGTGTGCAAGTAGTCAGCAATTCCGCATGTGTCCACCCTGACCATTTCTGACTAAGCCTTTTCTGATCTTCGAACAGAGAAACGACTCACAAAGCTTAGTTTAGTCTCTACAAGTTTTTACATTTTGATGTTGTACCGTTGCATCGTGTGTCATTTCATTGCATGAAAGCTGCAGGTTGAAACTCCAAAAGAAGAAGTCAAGGCAAAAACGGTGCCGGACTCAGTCTTGTGTTGCTAGTCACTATTCTACTTGGCCATACTTTGTTGATAGATGTTGCTACAGTTTTGATGGGAACATGGGCAACATGGTCAATCAGCTTCTTTGTTGCCTAGGCCGAACCAAAACAAGAGGCCAAGGCAAAGTATCTCTTGGGATTGGGAGACACGGGTCTAGAGCTTGACGTGGTGTGGGCCAATGTTGAGCCCAACATACATCTATAGAGTGTGAAGCCTTTCGTAGCATCAGAACACTTAAAATGAAGTTATATTATGTCATATTTTTTGTACTACTACTGAATACTAATTACTCTGTAATATTTGGCATGTTTTCTTAAGTGCAACAGGAGTGGATGCATTCCGATGCATTCCGATGCATTGCAACACTTGGGCCTTTAGGACATGGTCCATGCAGTGTCAAGCAGTGGTGAAGATAGCTCCAATTGATTGTTGCTGGACAATGAGTTCGTAACGCAATTGTCCACATTCTGAGAAGTGTTTCCTGTTTCCTGAACATTTTACGGCATGTTTCCATAGAAGTTAGAAGAGCAGCTGAAGCTGCAGAAGGAATATGCATGCTAGATGTGCTAGAAGCAAAGAGGTAGCAGGTTCGATTACCCATACCTGCTTTGGCGCAGGTATGGAGACCTGTCACTCGGCGGGGTTTATCCTGTGATTATCTGATTCGTTTTCACTGCGGCGAAGTCACCAACTAAATTTATCTGAATACCATGAAATTGAAGTGTGAGTGCAAATGCAAAGGTCCCATCAATTTTCTTTCTTGAAAGCTTTAGACACTCGCGAGCACGGAAGTTATTGGTTGACGAATACCTGGTTACCATCACAATCATCACAACAGTACAACACCATCTGAGATTGCGAGTGAGTTGTAATATGTTGTAATCAGGTGGCCATGATGCAGTTGTTGGTGTGGAAGAGATTGTGTGAACCACACCTCCTACACTGCTTAAGGAGTCAAGAGCTGTCTCTGTAAGATTCTATAAGTGCAGAGATATAAATCGCTGTTGAATGCGGTGAGGGGAAGCAAGACCCCAGAAGGACAGTGTGCAAGTAGTCAGCAATTCCGCATGTGTCCACCCTGACCATTTCTGACTAAGCCTTTTCTGACCTTCGAACAGAGAAACGACTCACAAAGCTTAGTTCAGTCTCTACAAGTTTTATCAAGTTTTTATATTTTTATGTTGTACCGTTGCATCGTGTGTCATTTCATTGCATGAAAGCTGCAGGTTGAAACTCCAAAGGAAGAAGTCAAGGCAAAAACGGTGCCGGACTCAGTCTTGTGTTGCTAGTCACTATTCTACTTGGCCATACTTTGTTGATAGATGTTGCTACAGTTTTGATGGGAACATGGGCAACATGGTCAATCAGCTTCTTTGTTGCCTAGGCCGAACCAAAACAAGAGGCCAAGGCAAAGTATCTCTTGGGATTGGGAGACACGGGTCTAGAGCTTGACGTGGTGTGGGCCAATGTTGAGCCCAACATACATCTATAGAGTGTGAAGCCTTTCGTAGCATCAGAACACTTAAAATGAAGTTATATTATGTCATATTTTTTGTACTACTACTGAATACTAATTACTCTGTAATATTTGGCATGTTTTCTTAAGTGCAACAGGAGTGGATGCATTCCGATGCATTCCGATGCATTGCAACACTTGGGCCTTTAGGACATGGTCCATGCAGTGTCAAGCAGTGGTGAAGATAGCTCCAATTGATTGTTGCTGGACAATGAGTTCGTAACGCAATTGTCCACATTCTGAGAAGTGTTTCCTGTTTCCTGAACATTTTACGGCATGTTTCCATAGAAGTTAGAAGAGCAGCTGAAGCTGCAGAAGGAATATGCATGCTAGATGTGCTAGAAGCAAAGAGGTAGCAGGTTCGATTACCCATACCTGCTTTGGCGCAGGTATGGAGACCTGTCACTCGGCGGGGTTTATCCTGTGACTATCTGATTCGTTTTCACTGCGGCGAAGTCACCAACTAAATTTATCTGAATACCATGGAGTACAAGTCCTAAATCTTCTTGCCATCAAGGCCTGGACACTGGTGAGCTAAGGCAGCTAAGAACATAGGGATTCAGCATTTGTTCGTGCTGACAGTTTGGTAAGTTGAGAAGGCACCTTTGAAACTTCAAAAAGAGCAACAATCTACAAAGCTCAGTTCGGACTCTAGTACATTCAGGTTGTACTGTACCTCCGCTGCATGCTGTGCAGGAGGTGTCACTGTAGGCCATCTCATCTCATGGCATGAAAGCTGCAGGTTGAAACTCTAAAAGAAGAAGTCAAGGCAAAAACGGTGCCGGACTCAGTCTTGTGTTGCTATTCACTATTGTACTTGTACTTGGCCATGGCCATCCTTTGTTGACTACAGTTTTGATGGGAACATGGGCAACATGGTCAATCAGCTTCTTTGTTGCCTAGGCCGAACCAAAACAAGAGGCTAAGGCGAAACAGGCCTGCTGCAGTCGTTTTGACTGAACCATACGACTGAACCCATTTCTCAACGCCAGTGTCTTTCCCCAAGATATGAGCGTTTCTGCAAATGTTCAAACCAATCCATTGAATTTCAGCCCAAGGGGTCACATCCCCCAGACACCGTTCTTTTTTTCCTTCGCAGGAGGCAAAGGTATGGAAAGTTGCTACTTGACTGATATAGGGATGTTGCAAAATATGGAACCGCAAGATACCGCAAGTTCAAAATCCCCTGGGTTTCTCATCAGATCCACCGTGAAAATGGCTCTATATGGCTCTTTTGCATTCTTTTGCGGGGGGTTCTCCTGTTTGAGGCAGAATCGTGTGTTTTTTGATCACTGAGTCTTCTGACAGAATGCTGTCCGCATCTCCAAGTTGGTGCTTGTCGAGAAGTTGTTCATCATGTTGTAGCAAGATTGGGTGACAGTCCAATCACAACATCGTGGAAGGAGTTTCTTGAAGATGCTGGTATCCCAAGAATATCCCCATATCATCCCATGAATATATTGAATATACGTATTAAATATAAAAAACACCTCTAATCCACATTATTTCAACAATGACAATGTTTTTTGGTAGATTTTCAATGGTTGGATGTGTTTCTTGACACATTAGAACTCATTAGATTCTCCTGCTAAGTCCAGGTACAAGCCCCCGAAGAAGTAAGGCCGGTAAAGCCCAAGGAGGCAGCTCAGTGACAGCAGTTTGGCCAAAACTGAACCAGGTCTTTGTCTTGGTTTGGTTTCCTGATAGGTGGACTTGCAACTGACTTGGGTCAGAAATTCTGCAGGTGCCTCAGTCAAAGCAAGAAGTCAAGGCAGCTTTGGCCGAATTTCGGTGTCGAGCCCTCTGGTTGTCAATTGCCTGGCAATTGGAAATACCATGAAATACCTATTTATAGGGAATATATCATAATGTATCCCCATTATGTAGGAATTTATCATTGCCATGTTTGCTTGCCAGAGGATAGTGTGAAGCTCATGTGTAGTTTGCCGAACCTCTCGTCATATCGGGCTTGGCAAGCTCTGGTGTGACAAATCTGACCCGAATGGGAAAATGCTCCTGATGTTCCACATTCGGAGTCCTACCTGAATTGCCTTATGAGACGTTAAATCATATCAATATAATATATATATTAATATATATATATATACATATGCCCCAGAACCCCCAATAATGTATATTTTAATTACTCATTATTGTTTTTAATGTACGGTATTTGTACATGGTCAGTGCCCTAATCCTCAATATGGGGGTTCTGGGGGGGGACGGTGACCATATTATATATATATAATACTTTTGTTGTATTATTTTTGTTGTTGTTATTACTATTATCAATAATTACTACTACTATCATGAGTACATTATTATATACTGTTTTATATTAATTATACAAATAATTTACATATATAACTATATATTATATGTCATTATATACATATATATATATATACATGCGTTGTTTATTATACTAGATTATTTTGTATTATGTTTTGTTATGTTAGAATTCTAATCCTACATTATGTTACAGTATATGGTTTTACATTATATTGCCGTATATTTTATTATATTACACAGCTCAACATGGCTCATAACCTATGATAGATGAAGATCCCTGACACCTCTGGTTGTTTCAGGTATGGAGAGCAGCACCTTGGCAGCCGCGGGGACAATCATCGAACAAAATATGGAGGTTTTAACAGGAAATATATCTATCATACCAGTAGTACCCGCACGAGGCGGGGCGGAAGTTGCCTTAAAGATATATATATATATAAGACCTTTCTCATCTATAGAACTTGCATGCGCCGTGCGCCAGCCAAGCCCGTGCGTGCATGCATTCTTCGAAAGTGGTGTCCTGTTTCACATGTCACATTTGAAGCTCCACTTCGCACTTCACACTTGACAGTCTTCACACTTCACACTGCACTCTTCACAGTGCACTCTTCACACTGCACCCTTCGCAGTCAACACTTCACTTCACACTGCACTCTTAAGACTCCACACTTCACACTTCACGGTCCACACTTCACACTTCACACTCCACACTTCACACTCCACACTTCACACTTCACAGTCCACACTTCACACTTCACACTCCACACTTCACACTGCACTCTTCATGCCCCACACTTTACACTGCACCCTTCACACTCTACACTTCATCTCATCTGAGCTCTTCTCACCTTATCCCAGCTCATCTCTTCTCATCTCCTCTCTTCTCATATGTCATCTAAGCTTTCATGAATCACTTCCCAGCACTACTACTAAGGAACTTGCATGCGCCGTGCGCCAGCCAGGCCCGTGCGTGCGTGCTTTGTACGAAGCTGTTGCAGTGTTGCCGTCCAAGAACATGACCTGCGCGCGACCCCGGTACAATGCAAACACTTTCCTCACACTTCACACTGCACTCCTCACACCCCACACTCCACGCTTCACACTTGCACTTCATCTCAACTCATCTCATCTGAGCTCTTCTCATCTCATTCCATGTCTTCCCATATGTCAGCTAAGTTCTTCTTGGCTATTTTCATGTCAAGTACTTCCCAGTACTGATGTCTACTACAAAAGCTTGCAAAAACCACTTCCCAGTACTACTTTGTGCTACAAAGCTTGCACAAACTACTTCCCAGTACTACTGTGTACTACAAAGCTTGCACAAAACACTTCCTAATACTACTTTGTACTGCAAAGCTTGCACAAAGCACTTCCCAGTACTACTTTGTACGACAAAGCTTGCACAAAACACGTTCCACTACTACTTTGTACGACAAAGCTTGCACAAAGCACTTCCCCGTACTACTTTGTACTACAAAGCTTGCACAAAGCACTTCCCCGTACTACTTTGTACTACAAAGCTTGCACAAAACACTTCCCAGTACTACTTTGTGTACTACAAAGCTTGCACAAAGCACTTCCCAGTACTACTTTGTACTACAAAGCTTGCACAAACTACTTCCCAGTACTACTGTGTACTACAAAGCTTGCACAAAACACTTCCTAGTACTACTTTGTACTGCAAAGCTTGCACAAAGCACTTCCCAGTATTACTTTGTATGACAAAGCTTGCACGAAACACGTTCCACTACTACTTTGTACTACAAAGCTTGCACAAAGCACATCCCCGTACTACTTTGTACTACAAAGCTTGCACAAAGCACTTCCCAGTACTACTTTGTACTACAAAGCTTGCACAAAACACGTTCCAGTACTACTTTGTGTACTACAAAGCTTGCACAAAACACTTCCCAGTACCACTTTGTACTGCAAAGCTTGCACAAAGCACTTCCCAGTACCACTGTGTACTACAAAGCTTGCACAAACTACTTCCCAGTACTTCTGTGACCAAGCAACCTTGACGCAGCCACTACAATGCGATCTGCAGAGACTGAGTTGCTAAACGCAATAGAACTGCGCGCAACGGTGTCGGAAATTGCAGCTCCAAAACCGGATCTCGACGCCAAAGCAGAAAAAAGACGATTTTGAAGCAATTTTTAAAAATGATTTTTAAAAGGAAAATTACTAGCGCCAAAATTGCGAAAATCTGCTGGCAAATGACTATCGCAGCCTGGATGCAGCCACTCCAATACGATTTACAATCTTCAGCTGCAAAAGACAAAAGTATTACGCATGCAGCCGCGGCATCAAGCAACCTTGACGCAGCCATTACAATGCGATCTGCAGCGACTGAGTTGCAAAGCACAATAGAACTACGCGCAACGGTGTCGGAAATTGCAGCTCCAAAACCGGATCTCGACGCCAAAGCGACAAAAAGACTATTTTGAAGCACTTTTAAAAGGATTTTCAAAAGAAAAATTTCTACCGTGAAAATTGCGAAAATCTGCTGCCAAATCACTACAGTATCGCAACCTGGATGCAGCCACTCCAATACGATTTACGATTTTCAGCTGCAAAAGACAATAGTATTACGCATGCAGCCGCGGCATCGACTAACGTTGAGCACACAAGGTGTCGTGCTCCGGCTTCCTCCCCAAAACATAGCCCATGCAACATTCATGCAGCCATTCCAATGCGATCTGCAACCACAGCTTCAGGAAACGCATAGAACTACGCACACAGGAACAACCACTTGTTGCAAAACACATAGAAGAACCCAATCGCGTCCGGAACGACCGCAGCCGCGACCGCCGCACAGACGAGGTACCTTTCATCGTCGCCTGCAGCCACTTTACACGGAAAAACACAAGGTTTCGTGCTCCGGCTTCCTCCCCAAAACATAGCCCATGCAACATTCATGCAGCCATTCCAATGCAATCTGCAACCAGAGATTCAAGAAACGCATAGAACTACACACACAGGAACAACCACTCGTTGCAAAACACATAAAGAACCATCGGTCGGACGACCGCAGCCGCAACCGCCGCACAGAGGAGTACCTTTCATCGTCGCCTGCACCACTTTACCGGAAAAACACAAGGTTTCTGCTCCGGCTCCTCCCCACCATAGCCCATGCAACATTCATGCAGCCATTACAATGCGATCTGCAACCACAGCTTCAGGAAACGCATAGAACTACGCCACAGGAACAACCACTTGTTGCAAAACACATAGAAGAACCAATCGCGTCCGGAACGACCGCAGCCGCAACCGCCGCACAGACGAGGTACCTTTCATCGTCGCCTGCAGCCACTTTACACGGAAAAACACAAGGTTTCGTGCTCCGGCTTCCTCCCCAAAACATAGCCCATGCAACATTCATGCAGCCATTCCAATGCGATCTGCAACCACAGCGTCAGGAAACGCATAGAACTACGCACACAGGAACAACCACTTGTTGCAAAACACATAGAAGGAACCAATCGCGTCCGGAACGACCGCAGCCGCACCGCCGCACAGACGAGGTACCTTTCATCGTCGCCTGCAGCCACTTTACACGGAAAAACACAAGGTTTCGTGCTCCGGCTTCCTCCCCAAAACATAGCCCATGCAACATTCATGCAGCCATTCCAATGCGATCTGCAACCACAGCTTCAGGAAACGCATAGAACTACGCACACAGGAACAACCATTGTTGCAAAACACATAGAAGGAACCAATCGCGTCCGGAACGACCGCAGCCGCAACCGCCGCACAGACGAGGTACCTTTCATCGTCGCCTGCAGCCACTTTACACGGAAAAACACAAGGTTTCGTGCTCCGGCTTCCTCCCCAAAACATAGCCCATGCAACATTCATGCAGCCATTCCAATGCGATCTGCAACCACAGCTTCAGAACCGCATAGAACTACGCACACAGGAACAACCACTTGTTGCAAAACACATAGAGGAACCAATCGCGTCCGGAACGACCGCAGCCGCACCCGCCGCACACACGAGGTACCTTTCATCGTCGCCTGCAGCCACTTTACACGGAAAAACACAAGGTTTCGTGCTCCGGCTTCCTCCCCAAAACATAGCCCATGCAACATTCATGCAGCCATTCCAATGCGATCTGCAACCACAGCTTCAGGAAACGCATAGAACTACGCACACAGGAACAACCATTGTTGCAAAACACATAGAAGGAACCAATCGCGTCCGGAACGACCGCAGCCGCAACCGCCGCACAGAGGAGGTACCTTTCATCGTCGCCTGCAGCCACTTTACGCGGAAAAACGCAAGGTTTCGTGCTCCGGCTTCCTCCCCACAGCACACAGCATGCAACATTCACGCAGCCATTCCAATGCGATCCGCAACCACAGCTTCAACACCACTTCCCTTCCGCAACACTTCCCATCGTCACCACTTCCCATCGTCACCATGTAAAGTCTCACACCACCCTTCATCAAGGTCAAGTCTCAATGTGATGTATTGTTATGTCATGTAAAGTCTCACACCACCCTACATCAAGGTCAAGTCTCAATGTGATGTATTGTTATGTCATGTAAAGTCTCACACCACCCTTCATCAAGGTCAAGTCTCAATGTGATGTATTGTTATGTCATGTAAAGTCTCACACCACCCTTCATCAAGGTCAAGTCTGAATCGCGCACCACCCTTCAAGGTCGAGTCTCAATCGCGCACCACCCTTCATCATGTCAAGTCTCAGAATTCTATTTGTCCGTAACACGGAAGTATTGCTTCCCAACTTCCTTTGATAATATTACTATATATACATTATATACATGTGTTGATATTACCATAATAATAGTAGTAGTAATAGTAGTAGTCGTAGTAGTCGTAGTAATCGTAGTAGTCGTAGTAGTCGTAGTAGTAGTCGTAGTAGTAGTCGTAGTAGTAGTCGTAGTCGTAGTCGTAGTCGTAGTCGTAGTAGTAGTAGTAGTAGTACATAGTAGTAGTAGCAGGAGTAGTAGCAGGAGTAGTAGTAGTAGTACATAGTAGTAGTACATAGTAGTAGTAGTAGTAGTACATAGTAGTAGTAGTAGTAGCAGTAGTAGTTGTAGTAGTAGTAGTAGATAGTACATAGTACATAGTACATAGTACATAGTACATAGTAGTAGTAGTAGTAGTACATAGTAGTAGTAGTAGTAGTACATAGTAGTAGTAGTACATAGTAGTAGTACATAGTAGTAGTAGTACATAGTAGTAGTAGTACATAGTAGTAGTAGTACATAGTAGTAGTAGTACATAGTAGTAGTAGTACATAGTAGTAGTAGTACATAGTAGTAGTAGTAGTACATAGTAGTAGTAGCAGGAGTAGTAGGAGTAGTAGGAGTAGTAGGAGTAGGAGTAGGAGTAGGAGTAGTAGTAGTAGTAGTAGGAGTAGTAGTAGGAGTAGGAGTAGTAGTAGTAGTAGTAGCAGTAGTAGTAGTAGTAGGAGTAGTAGTAGTAGTAGGAGTAGGAGTAGGAGTAGGAGTAGTAGTAGGAGAAGTAGTAGGAGTAGGAGTAGGAGTTGCAATAGAATTAGCAGAAGTAGTAGAAGTAGTACAAGTAGTACAAGTAGTACAAGTAGTAGAAGTAGAAGTAGCACAAGTAGAATTAGAAGTAGCACAAGTAGAATTAGAAGTAGTACAAGTAGAATTAGAAGTAGTAGAAGTAGTAGCAGTAGTAGTAGTAGTAGCAATAATATTATCATTTTATTATCATAGTATTATTATATTATTTGTCATACATTTAAATGTGGCATTTTCCAGCAAGCCTTGTTTGATTACCCTCTACTAAAAGTTTACATAGCTATGGAAAACAGCCACTGTCAAGAGGCAAATCATGGAAATAAACGGGGCGTGGCTTCAATAGCTATGTCACATTACCAGAGTAACAACGGGCTATCCGCTGGCGAGCTGCTGAACAAAACATGTGTTGTTTTTGGAACAAAAGCATGAGACTCCCTTGAACCAATGTTTCATGCAGCTGCAACATGATTCTGACATGCAACGAAGAGGTTGGAGAAAAAGACCCTCCGAAAGAGACTCAGAAATGGGAAGAGAAGAAACATGAAAAGAAATTGGGCAAGGACAGCTGGATCGAAAGCTGGAAGGACTGTCGGAGAGTCGGACAGTCGTTTTTAAAACCAGGTGTTTGTTTTGCAGCACAATTTCAGCATGGAATGCAACTAAGTATTCCAACCAACATTGAAATAAGGAAAGAACATGGAAGAAACATGTTCATGCTAATCTGATAGATCTGTTAGCTGAGCAGATTGCATCTGAACGCGTTTGATCGCTTCTTCCCTTGTTTTCATCGTCTTCGCCGTGGGGACACGAGTTCGGAACTGCAGCCAGGACCCTGAGACGGCTCTGGCAGACTCGGCCATCAAGGAAATTACTGCGCAAGTCATGGTGCCAGGAGCCTATTCGGCAGAGAGTCGACCCTGCTGCTTCTGTCGGTGTCAAAAAGATTAATTCATATGACATGAGTTCAATTATGCAGTTATGTTCATATTACTCGTATGTTCATATGATATTAACCTATATTATGTTCCTGGTAGTGAGTGATTACATTGCAGAGATTAAGTACTTCGTCATGTTCAGGATATGAGTGATGTCACGTTTGGATCAAACTAGTTTGCAAGAAGTTGGAAATTGTGCAGACTTTAAATGCTAAAATAATATACAGTCATTAACCAATGTCAGGCTTCAAATTAAGTAACCTGTGAAGAAGCACCGTATTCGCCGTATTCATCAAACTTTTTGAGCAAAAAAAACGGAGCTTTCCTGTAACTTTTTCCATCCCTGCCCTTCATACGAGATTATTTTTCCGGGAGGGCTTGTAAACCACCAACCAGTCGCCAGCTGAGGCCTGAAAACAAAGGCTTCGTTTGGGTTGACGAGTGGCAGGTGGGGCCTGCATCCTGCAGCCATCCTGCACTGAAAAGGTCCTGTGGCTCTCGGACAATTTCTGAAGAGCCACTTAGAGAGCAGCATTTTTGGATGTTAAAACATTATGTGAACTCATGTTAGTACATGTTAATACCATATATTGTAGTTTGAGCCCCAAAATAATGAGTCCTAGTGTTTCTCCCCTTATATTTACCCTCACCAACAGTATAAAATCCACAGCAAGTTCATCTATCCCCGGCCAGGAGCGTTTCAGCTCTACATTTGGCACTGTCAGGCGGGATGATTGGAGCAACGATGGTTTTGGGTGAAGACTTGGGGATTGGGATCCTGGGAGTTTGGCTTTGCTTTGGCTCTAAATCAGTACCAACTGTTTGAGCTGTAAGATCCTGTAAGATCCTGTAAGTGCTGTGGGAGTTTTAGGATCCTCGTGTAGTTCAGTGCGCTGCAGGACTAGGGTTGCATAGAGGGATGTGGCAATGCCAGCAAGCTGCAATATTTGCATATTGAGTGACGAAGTATGGGTCCACCATGACACCAGCATGTCCGAAAGCTTCTGGGAAGTTGCAAACTCATCCAATCTCATAGAATATTCGAATCAATGTACTGCAACACCTTGAATTCGGCGTACTTGGATGTGCACACTATATAGTGTAATTTAGTTGTTTGTTCTCTCTTTGGATAATCACCAGAGTGTAGTTCCCCACCGTGTTGTTGACTGAGGGTTGGGACACTGTGATTCAAACGGAGATTCCCGCTCCTTGCAGTTACATTGCCATATAGTGGTATAGCAACCCCCACAAAGATAGAAAGGTAAAATCCTATTAAAAGAGTTGTGATTTGTTTTTCTATTTTGGGAGGTTACTAGCCATGTTGCAATATATGGAGGTTTCCTGAAATAGGGGTACCCCCAAATCATCCATTTATAGATGGATTTCCAATTATAAACCATCCATTTGGGGATACCCCCATGACTATGGAAACAAACACATATATGAATCACATTTATCGAAACCATCACATATATGTTACTTTACTAGCCATATTCCAATATATTGCAATGCATTTTGACACAACCCCCATCAGCCAATGTGCAGCCAGGGAGTTTCTGGAATCACGGCCGGACAAATTTCTAGTCACCCCCACCACCGGAAGGCCATGGGCGATGGGCTGAAAAGTGCACTTTCCCAAGATCTTTGGCATCTGAAAGTCTGAAAATGTTGAAAAGCTCCCTGATTTTGAACATATTTAACATATTATAAGCATTTAACCGACCCAAAGATGATGATCATTTTTTTTAAGCATTTTTGATTTTGGTGTGTTGCCCTGAATTTTCAGGCAGAATCCGTATCCAAGACATGCGCTGGCTTCGCACAGCTTCCAGATCACTCCATTTGGAACCTGCTTTTGTCGAGTTTGTTAAATTACGCCAGAACACTCGTCAAGCTACTTCAAGAGAGCCGCCAGAAGGGAAAACCATGCAGCTTAAGTGAGTCATTGGTCCGAATATCATGGAATATAAATGAATATAATATTTATGTGTTGGCGCAATTTCAATCAGATTGTGCAAAATCTTATACCATTTCAGTGCTTGGCCAGGGGGTATCGCGTGGCATTGGTGAAGCATGAGGGACCTTTAAAGTGGAAACCGCGAAAACACAGTTGATCCGTGGAGCAAGCTCCAGGAGTGTGACACATGGTACTGGAAGGCAAATGTGCTGTGTTTGGGGGGGTTCAACAAATGATAACGACCACAATACTCTGAATAATGATTAATAGTACGGTACTACGTTTGCAACAGGCATCAACCTGTTTTGAACATGACACACGCTTGGAGCTTCGCTTAAACATGTGCCCTTGGTACGCCAAAAATACAGAAATCTTCGCAACGACGCCAAGTAGCTGGCGCTTTTTTCAAGTGGGTCCGACCTCGCATTTGACAGGAACATTGGTGATTTAGCTGAAAAAAAATGGATTTAACCAACAAAATTTTTCAAATCTACTCATTGATCGTGATTCTGAATTGAAACTGCAATACATGGAAAGAGACCACATTCCTCAATTGGCACAATTGGAATCTAAGATTCAAGTGGATATAGTGTATCATTTGTATAATTTGTATCTCAGTTGTTTCTCATGTTTGAGGTGGTTCAGGGTTCAACGATGGCACAACCGAAGTTTGGACCTTGAAGGTCAAGTTTTTGAGACCATGGATGTCCATGGTGGCAGATGGCAGCCGTTCATCGTGTGGCTTTTACCATGTTTTACCACACAGCAGGGCTGGGACTCTGGGACCATGTGGAATATTCGGCCAACGATGTGCGCAAGTGTGTTTTGACATATCGACCCGATGGAATTCCTTGACACCACTAAGAGAGAATGGAAAAATCAAAATGATTCTGATTTTTTCTCTGCCCATATGTGATGGATTGAATACAATGGTTTGACAACATTGGTCTAGGTCTAGGTCTTGGGCCCCAAGTTTAGAGTGTAGAGGAGGGCATCGGAACATATTGGAACCGGTTGAAATCAAGCTGATCCAAGCAGTATTCCACCTGGTTGTGGAAGCCATGTGAAGAGCTTGACTTGAGCTCGAGGGGGTAGGAGTCAGGCAGTCATGAACGGAGGCTTCATTGAGTTGGTTCAGGAGTTTTATCGGTAGAAGGGCGAGAAAGGGGGAAAACTTTCACAAGGAATGCCACATCCGTAGCTGTTTTATTGGAAATTGCTGGAAATTGCATTGTCTTTTAGTTTGTTAATTACATTTCTTTATGATTCAAATTGACAGACAAGGCATCCGCCAATGACTGCTCGTTTTGCCATCGGTGAGCCGTTGGCCGCTGCAATGGCTGTGCATCAGAATTTGCTGCCTGTCACGCAGACGTTGTGCTGGCAACAAGCCCGGCCATAGCATGTGCAAACATGTCCAAAAACGCCACGGCGCACTGCAGGCGGAAGAAGACAGCCAAGTTCAAGATTTATTTGTTTGTGGATTTAGCTTGTTGGGCTACAACAGCAAGGCAATGTTCATGAATTCATGCATTACTACTGAAGTCAATACATGTTTACAGCAGATGCTCAAGATGATGATTATGTATGTCCACCAAAGTATAGAAATGGAAACAATTTTGTAAAACTGAGGACTCAGCCTTGGATTCGCACCATGCTTGAGCTATTCCATCCCTTGAAAAAGCCATATCAGGAGTCCAAAAACCTCATGTCCGCAGAGGACAGCAGAGTACAGCCTACAGTAGCCATTCACAGCCTACTCTCCGGCGGAAGTTGGTCAGTGCTGTGCAGCGGGACTCGCCGTACTGGCGCCCAGTACGAACCAGAAACATGCAGCGGCGCGGCGATCCAAGGGGAACCAGATTTCCTCGTGGGGCAAACGGTTTGGATGATTCTGGCAACTTTTGCCCCAAATTACCAAATGGAATCCAAATGGTTCCAATGGTTTGGTAACTTGGTTCCAATTTGTTACCAGATTCATGTTAAGTCTCCCAAATTGGTAACTTAGATTAAGCAGAATCTATAGAGACCGGTGCATGGTTTGCCGCCTTTCCGATCTGATTCCGATGCCCCAAAAAAGGTGACCATGGTGACCTCCACAACGATGGTGGCAACCAGAAACATTGAGTGTTTGTTGGTGGTTGAAAAGCCCTTATGATAAACCTATGAGTTCAAGCTATCCATGTTTGATCATGTTTTTTTGGGGGTCACCATTTAATACCATTGATCCCATTGCTTTGGTTGTATCATGTTGTATCCCATGAAATCCATTTAAGGATCATTTAAGTATCCCTATGGCCCTATGAATAGTAACATGACTCACATGACGAATCTCCTACGGCTGTGGTCAGCGAGCGCCTGGCGCAGATTGCGAAGAGCTGCAGAGAGACTTTGACTCAGATGTACCCCAACACCTTCGAAGGTGTGGGTCAAATGCCCCCGCAGTTTTCGGTGACACCGGTGACACCCGTGACACCCCCAAGTCCCAACAGATGGTGAAGTCTATTGTATGTTGTTGTATGTTATTGTTGGGGCTGGTTGATTGTCCCAAAGGCTTATCATTGATCTTTTGGGGTCAACTTTGTGTTGGTCCCTGAGAATTCCAGCTCTCTCTTGACCATGACGATCTCCTCTTTTATTGATATTTGATGGCCCAAGTGCACGGCCCCCTTTTGTGTGGTATCTACCAGTAGCTCATCCGAGATTCGCTCGTGCCATAGCGACGGGAAAATAGCTGCTTGGTCTTTTCGTGACTTGTGAGAGAAGAAAGTTGCGGTGGAGAAAGATCTTGCATCCAGACTTCAGAGGATCAAGGAAATTGAACCAAATCAAGTCTTTGCGCATCCATTTGCGAGTTCCACTGGCTACCATTTAGATCTGCGGATCTTTATGGTAGCGGAGCCAGTTGCGCTCCAGGCTCCATGACGACCCAGCCACCTTCGGGGACTGAGCAACAGATTGACTTCAAGTACCCTTGGTGGGATGGAAACTGGCTGACCTATGAGGATTACAAGACCCGAGTGGAGTTGAGAGCTGATGCCAGCAAAGAAGAAGACTTACCCTTCTTAGGGCCCCGATTGGCCTCCAACTTGGTCGGCAAGGCCTTTGACACCTTGGGAGAGATTTCTCGGGAAAGCCTGAAGAAAGCAGATGGTTGGTCCTATCTGTTGAAGTTCTTAGAGGGCAAGCGTGGTCGAGCCAAGGTTGATTTGCTTGGCGATATGTTTAGTGAGTTTTTCCTGAAACGTGAAGCTTACCGGAAAGATGGTGAAGAATGGAATGACTATGAGGTCCGCTTCCGTACTTTGGTGCGGCGAATGGACCGTGCGGTAAAGGAGGCCAACACCGAGGCAAAGATTCCAAGTGAGATGTACGGTTGGTTTCTTCTGAACTTGTTCATGAAGCTTTCACCTTCCGATACGGCAAATATCCGTGGAAAGTCAGGGTCCTACCAAATGGAGGATGTCATGGCTGCCATCAAGGTCATGTGGAGCAGTGGTGGCCTGGCTTCACGGGACCAGGAGGTGAAGGTGAAGAAGAACCAGCCCGGACATACTTATGCAGTAGATGATGAAGAGCCAGTGGAAGAACAGCAAGAGCCCAATGGGATCTATGAAGTGGATGATGAGTTGGAAGAAATCCAAGAATGGCATGATGAGGCCATTTTGGCCCTTGCGGAGGAACCGACGGATGGTGAGGTATTGGCCAACTTCCGAGAAGCCCGGAAAGCCTTAGACCAAGCACGGACGGCCCGTGGCTTTTACCCTGTTCGACAGCCGGGAAAGGGCAAAGGCAAGGGCAAACCCTATGGCAAGGGATTTGGCAAGGGGAGCAATTCGATGCAGCGACCCTCGCAGCCTTTGCCATCACACATGGACAAGATCTGTATGAGATGTGGGAAAAAGGGTCACATTGCCCAGTTCTGCCCTCAGAAGCCTGGCCAGCCTTCAGGCCATGGTGCCATAGGCTTCGTTGGACTTGCCATGGCCGCGGACACCTGGCAGTCCTCACCAGATGCAGGGAATCCATGGTGCTTGGAAGAAGATCTTGATGACTGCTACGAGAGGGTTGATGAAACCATCCCATCCGCCATCCTGGTGACAACTGAGCCAGAAGCTTGTTGGTCTACCAGTATGGATACGGAGCAGCATCCTGTCTACGCACTTGGTCCATATACACGTGGCCGAGCCATCATTGACTCTGGTGCCTCGGACAACATTGTGGGAGCCGAAACTTTGCAGGAGCTGGCTGATTGCCTCAATGAGCTGGAGTTTTCGGCAGAGCAGGAGATCAAGGTTGACCGTGAGATTCACAAGCAGTTCGTCTTCGGCAACAACGCCACCTCGGCAGGCCTGGGACTTTCCCATGTCAATGCCGGTATGTGTGGTCAGCAGGTGCCAATTCAGGCACACCTGGTCGAAGGTGGTACTCCTTTCCTCCTGTCTTCCAAGTTTCTGTATGACATGGATGCCACAATCAACTTTCGGAGTGGGGTTGCAGTCTTCAAGACATTGTCATCCAGGCAGTTCAAGTTAGAGCGAACACCAAGTCACCATCTCATGGTTCCTCTGACCGCATTTGCTGGCAATGACAAAGTGACCAACACCCTGTTCCTGCATTCTGACGAAGAGGATCTGAGCGTGCAGCACTTGAGCCAGCCTGCTGACGATCCGAATGTACAGGGTGCACAGCCACCAGCCGGCGAAGATACCACCACCATTTTGGATAAGGGGGCCCCCCAAGAAGAATAGGGACAGCTCCACCAAGGCTGGAATGGACAGATCCATGTACAGTCCAGCGATCTGAGGGCCTTGAGTGGAGGACAAGCCACGACAGACTGTCAGTGTTTTTGTGATGTTTCTGAACATGGTTTTTCTTGTGACGTTTGTTTAAATCACCACACCATGCAAGAACTCAGCAACACGCAACGGCAAGAGCTCAGCGAAGTTCTGGCAGAGCAGATTGAATTGGGAGACAGATACTTCGAGGAGATCCTCAACCAAAATCATGTCGATTTAGTCGAGGTTTGTGCTCCATGGGATAGCCCATTGTGTCAGGCCGTGCGAGATCTTGGAGGGACAGCAATTGCACTTGGGTTACACAATGGTTTTGACCTCAATACTGTTCAGGGGTATAAACGGGCTTTGGCTGTTGTGCGACATTTGAAACCAAAGTACGTTCACATTTCTCCCCCTTGTCATTTGTGGAGCCCCTTCCAAAACTGTAATCCCAAACAGGGACATGTCCTCCAGGAATTCCTCCAAGCACGTGGCAAGAGTAAGAAACTGATAGCTCGATGCTGTCGTATCTTGGAAGTACAATTGTTTGAGCTGAATGGTCATGGAAGCCAGGCACATGGTAAGCATGAGGACTTGCATCACGGTGGCGGTGAACACCCCCTTAATGCTCAAAGTTGGAAACACACACAATTGGAACACATGGCACGTCGTTGTGGGGGAAGATTCACGGTTTATGGGTGTTGTCATGGGATGTACCACAAAACCACCAAGAAGCTTTTGCGGAAACCCTGGGGATGGTTTACAAGTAAACCGTGTGTTCGGGAAGCCTTGGAAAGTAAGTGTCAGCATGCACAACATGTCCATCAGCCCATTGAAGGAGCCATCACACCGTTGACTGCAACGTATCCTCAGATTTTGTGTCGGCGTTTTGCGAAGGCCATCCTCAAACCTGAGACTAGTGGTCAAATGTTCTTAGGCATTTACGCGTCCACAGAGGGAGACAATCAGGAGATTGACTCTAGGGACATGGACGAAGAACCAGAACAGGATTACTGGACTCAACATATGGGGATTTTGATCAAACACCATGTTCAACCCAGGTATGACTTGTTTGCTCCTACGGAGGAAGATTGTCCAGTTTCTCTCAAATGTTTGCGGGCCAAGAGAGTTACATGGGGAACCACCGAAGATGATGTTTTGGAATGGGAAGATGAATGGAATAACCCCCAAGGGAATCCTTTTGGGAAACGGTTGTGGAAAGGGGAGACCAGGTTTGAGTTGCGACATGCGGGGGAGAAACCAGTTCAATTAGGACCCCCAAAAGGTTTGTTGGGGGATGATGAGGAGGACCACCAAGGGGAGTTGAAACGAAAAATTGCTCTCATCCACCGGAACCTGGGTCACCCAAATAAGGAAACCATGATACGTATGTTCCGTGATGCTGGGGCTTCTTCCAATGTCATGTCTATGGTCAAAGAATTCACATGTGAACATTGCTTGAAACATGGCTGAAGAGCCATCACCAAGCCTGCCATTGCAGTTCCAGTCCGGGAGAAGTGGGAATGTGTAAGTGTTGACACTTTTTGGTGGAAAACCCCTCTTACTCTGTTGGCTACTGGGGAGAAGTCGGAACATGTTGTGGGCCTTTCTATCCTCGATGAGGCTACTGATTATCACACCTGTGTTATCATTAGAACTGGGGATCACATGCAACACAACATTAGTACCCAAGAATTTAAGAAGGCCTTTTGTGAGGGCTGGTTAAAAATCTTTCCCACGCCAAAGCAGTTGCGGTATGACGAAGAAGGTTTCCTTCGAAACTTGGATCTGATTCACTGGCTTGAGGGCCAGGGCATTCAGTTGGATCCAATTGCTGGGGAAAGTGGATGGCAACTTGGTAAGCACAGTCGTCACTTGCAGGTTCTAAAGGAAAACGTCAATTTGTTGACCCATGAACTGGGACATCATACTCCGGCGTGTGAACTTTTTGCGTTGGCGGTCTCTGCGAAAAATGCCACTCACCAAATCCGCGGGTATTCCCCAAATCAATGGGCCCTGGGAAGTAACCACCAAAGAATTGGATCTTTTCTGGAAAATGGAGATCATTTGCCATGGAATAGTCATTGGGATGATGTAGATTTTGCTGAGGTGGTCAAACGTGAAACGGCTGCCAAACGTTTGTTTTTGGAAGCTGACTCTCGTCGGCGCATCTATCGGGCGTTGAGGGCTCAGGGTCGTCCACTGCGTGTGTTTGAGACTGGCACTCTAGTGTACTACTACCGTAGGAGTAGGAAAGAGGTCACGAAGTATGGAGGTAGGTGGTTTGGTCCTGCTCGAGTGTTGTGTCATGAGAAAACTGGAGATTCAACCCTCGGAAACCATCCGGGATCAATTGTTTGGATCAGTCATGCGGGCGTTTTGCTGCGATGTTCTCCTGAACAGCTGAGAGTGGTCACTAGGGATGTCAGTAACATTGATAGGGAGATCAATGGCCCTGCTGATTTCCATACTATGCTGAAGGACGTAGGAAGCCAGCGGAAATACTTTGATCTTGCAAAAGAATTGGATGGACACACAGTTGACCATGAATCTTTGGATGAAAACATACCGCGACACAGGGTTCAAGGAAAACGAAAATTTCAACCAGACGCAACTCCCGCATCGGATCTCACTCCAGATGGCGACCCTCGAGGAGATGACCAAGGGCCTCAAGAACAACCTCGAGAAGCTTTCCGAGATAGAGAAGCCCAAGCGGACCGAACAAGTCCGCACCATGCAGATGGTGGATCTCCACCAGATGAAGATCGACTTCGGAAAGTACAAAGGTCACACCTTCCAGGAGGCAGCCCAGGACAAGTCCTACGTCCAGTGGGTGGCAAGTCACGTGAATCCCGACACGAGCTGCGAGGGGATGAAGTGCTTCCTGATCTACCTCTTCCGGAAGACCACCTCCGAAGTTCATCAAGTGGAGGCCGGCTACAAGGGAGAGGCATCAAACGCAATGCCAGCGCTCAAGAAATCCGAGATGAAGAAGCGGCTCCCCGAAGAGGTGAACCTCCCAGTGGAAGACTCCGAAGTGGAGAGCGAGGGGTGGTCCGAAGTGATGTCCAAGGACAAAGAGATTCGCCAGCTGCAGGAAACCCAGGGAGCTCTCCAGACTCGGCTCAACAACATCGAGCAGATTCTGGGACAGATCTCAGCCAAGTTGATGAACCCTTGAACAGCCTATGGAACATGGACGTAGTGGCAGAAGTCGCAGCCCGGCCGGCGCGCGTTTTGGTATAAGGCGGCATGGTGACACAAAGTCATCTGGGAACGCCCTGACGACCATTGCTGAGGAATCCGAAGGTCAGCAAAAAGCGAGTGAAACTTTCTTTGCCAGTGTCGTAGGGCAGCGAGAGGTATGTGAAATTCATGTGGCTGTGGCAGCCAGGGATGTCCACTGTAAACGGGGAGTTTGGATGTTGAATCAGAGAGTGAAAAAGTCTGCTGAAGTCAATATCCGCAAGTTGAATGAAAGCGATCAACAAGAGTTTGAACAAGCCATGAAAAAGGAATTAGACTCATTCATGTCGAATGATGCTGTCAGGGTCTGCGAGGCGGCTGGGATCCCCCGGGAAAGAGTTTTGGGAATGAGATGGATTTACACTTGGAAGCAAGTGGAAGACCCCGAAGGAAAACCCATTGGCCGAAAGGCCAAGGCCCGGTTGATCCTAAAGGGGTTTCAGGATCCTGATTTGTTGACTGTTGATCGTCAAGCACCCACTATGTCCACTTTGGGGAGGAATGCCATTTTGTCTCTTGCTGCGAAGAAGCGGTTCAAAGTGTTTTTGGGGGATATTAAAACGGCCTATTTAAACGGAGATGCTACGGAGTTGGAACGTAGGATTTATGCGGAACCCCCAGCAGATGTCAGACAGAAACTGGACATGCGTCCCCATGAAATCCTCAGGGTGGCTAAAGCGGTGTATGGATTATTACATGCTCCCAAGAAATGGTTTGAAAAGTTGAGATCTGTTTTGTTGGAACATGGTTGGGTGGCCCATCAACTGGATCAGCGTGTTTTTAAACTTGTTGATCCCCAAAATCAAGTGGTTTGCGGTTATTTAGGAGTGCATGTGGATGATGTTGTTTGTACGGGTCATGGTGTTTATTTTGATGACTGTGTTCAAAAACTGTTGAAGAGTTTCCCTTTTGGTAGTTGGAAATGTGCTCAGGAGGAAACGGTTAAGTTTTGTGGTTGTGATTTGAAACAATTGGCTAATTGTGATGTTGTGGTGACTCAAGAGCGTTTTGCGTTGGGTATTGATGAAATTCCTTTGGATTCTCTCAGAAAAGGACAGAAACAGGATGATGCTAGCCCTCAAGAGAAACAGAACATGCGGAGAATTTTGGGTGCACTGAACTGGAGAGCAGTTCAATCCGCTCCTTGGCTCTTAGCAACGGTGTCTCATCTGCAAGGATGTGTGGAAACGGCTACTGTCAGTGACCTTCTTGAAGTCAATAAGTTGGTGCGATGGCAACGGAGATATGCAACTCATGGTTTGACTTTTGTGCATAATCCCCAAGATACCATGGTTGTAACTTTCACGGATGCTTCATGGGCCACTCGACGTGATGGGAGCTCTCAAGGAGGACAGATCACTTTGCTAATGAGTAAGAGTGTCATGCATGGGGAAACTAGCCATTTTTCTGTGTTGTGTTGGGGTAGCCGCCGTCTGCGGCGGGTTGCACGGTCATCTACTTCCGCTGAGGTCCAAATGTCAGGTAATGCTCTGGATCAACATGAGTTTTGTAAACTGTTTATGATTATCATGGAAGAACCCAATAAGATTGATCTTCGTCAGCCAGATAATGTTTTGAGGAGCCAAGAATCTTGTTTAATCAGCGACTCAAAGAATGTGTACGACGGCTTGGAGAAAGTGGAGACCTCAGGCCTCCAAATGGAAGAGCGGCGTACAGCCATTGAGTTGCTGGGCATCAAGGAACGTTTGGCTCAGGCCAACATTCGCTGTCGTTGGGTTAGTGGTGATCAGGAACTGGCCGATGGTTTGACCAAACCATGGCAGGGAGAGCAGCTTGTCAAAGCCTTGCAGAAAACCCGATGGAGCATTATCTTTGACCCTGAGTTTATCTCAGCGAAGAGGAAGAAACAACTGGGCAAACTCAAACACTTAGAGTGTGGTGATTTAAACCTGTGGCTTCGATCTGTGTTTTTACTTGATGAGTTTTGTCGTGGCCAGAAAGATTTTTGGGGCTGTGACGTGTCCAGCCTAACATAGGGCAAACGTCCGTCATTGGTCAAAAAGATTTTTGGGGCTGTGAGAATTCCAGCTCTCTCTTGACCATGACGATCTCCTCTTTTATTGATATTTGATGGCCCAAGTGCACGGCCCCCTTTTGTGTGGTATCTACCAGTAGCTCATCCGAGATTCGCTCGTGCCATAGCGACGGGAAAATAGCTGCTTGGTCTTTTCGTGACTTGTGAGAGAAGAAAGTTGCGGTGGAGAAAGATCTTGCATCCAGACTTCAGAGGATCAAGGAAATTGAACCAAATCAAGTCTTTGCGCATCCATTTGCGAGTTCCACTGGCTACCATTTAGATCTGCGGATCTTTAGTCCCCAACGCAGAATGAAGGTGAATTGAGAGATATTGAGAGTATACCACTATAGAATCCACTAGATACAGTTTCACTATGTTTCACTCGGAAATTCGACTGAAATTCGCGAGGGTCGCAGTGTCGCAACTCCACTCAGATTCGCGTTGCGGAGGCAGTCAACTCTGTGTCTTCCACGCCTGCAGCTCCAAGAATCAGTACCTCGGATGCACGCGTGATACTCTTCCAGCATCTTCCAACCGGGAATGGTTGATTTTTTGATCCCTTCAAAATCCCACCTACAGTACTTACATAATTACTTGACAAGGCTGAGATAGGCTCTGTATGAGCAAAAATTAGCAGCGGATTGGACATACAGTTTCAGCATGTTTTACCCTACCAAAGTTTGAAGGAAAGCAGCTGAGATCATCCGTTTGATCCTGCATGCTACACCGCACTCCGTCATTCCAGCATCTCGTAAGAGATTGCGTCGTTCGATTCCATGCTTGGAGCGCAATTGGCAGTGCCCTTCTCTTTCCATGCTACATGGTGCTGGGCATTTTGGAGACATACTGAATACCCACATGACCAAACCTTTGAATGGCCATATGATGACGTATATACACATTCGAATATAATGCATATATATATATATTATACATGCATTTTTTTCATTACCCTATGTTACATTGGATTTGATGTTACTATATTTCTTTTACATCATATCACATTATATATATATATATTAAATATATATTAAATATATGTACGTATGTAGCCTCCTGCTTTCCTGATGTATTTCTACCGATGCGGAACAGCAGATTTTGTGTCACCCAGGCCATTCAAGTCATCAGATCAAGCCTTCCGGGACAACCTGGGCTCAGTGCTGATCCCTTGCACCGCAGAGGCTGGGTTCATGTCGGAGAGTTGAGAAGGATTAGGGGAAAAACATGTTTATCTAGATACATTCTATATAACTATATATATATAGTATATGGGGAAACATATGTTTATACACCAAAAAAATGGATAGATAGATATATATATATATAATATACTTTATATATATAGATATGATTGTTATTTGAAGACAGGGGTCATGTCACGTGATGAAGCTTTCACCTCCATACTCCGTTTCTCCGAGCTTTTTTTTGTCGACGCCAGGACATGCTGCTGGAAAAGCCGGCGCAGCTGAGCTTCGTCACGGAGGAAGTGATCGATGTCTGGCACTCAGGACGTCCTCAGGACATCTCCCAAGGAACGGCGGAGCCGGTGGAGCCGGTGGAGCCCGTTAAACATGGCCATTGTTTAGCCTTGTTTATAGGGAGAATGATGGTAATTATGGATGATTTATGGGATAATTATGGATAATTATGGATAATTATGTTTATTTGTTGATAATGATGATCATTGATAACCCATAGGATCCACGGTGCTGCTATATATGGTAACATGGATCCCATCAATATACCCCCAATGTTAGCATATATACCAGCACCATGGATCCTATGGGTAATGGCATGATTTTAGATTTGTTTTTATTATGGGCATTGGATGGAGATATCGTTGGATCTCAGATGACGTTTGCGTGTACTTGAAAATGAATGGAGGAATTTACTCCCCATGTATGATCATATTTTAACGGAAAACATGAGATTTTAGACGATGAAATTTGGGGGTATCCTATTCTCAGTAAAGCCCAGAGTCAAACCCACATCTGAGTGCGTTGAAATATTTGGGGTTCGGGTCATCGTGCTAGGACTGTTGTTATCATATTCACTCAAACTAAAGCTTGTTGCGCTCTATATGTGTCAATGCGAATACGGTCGGATTGACGCATCTGCACTCATCTATGATGTGTATTAATATATATATATATACTATAACATACAAGTATACTAAACGTTTGTTACATTTATATATACCTATAATTACGTAAAATATACTGTATACATATCGTTTATATATCGTTTAACAATATGTTTAACACGTATCAATAAATATTATATATACATACGTATCTTTATATTTCTTTATATTTTTTATATAACATAGTAAATATATATATATATATTATATATAACATATCATTTATATCGATATATACATGGATACAGACTCTGCTCATATCTTGGGCAGATGAGTAAAGAAAGCGACATTGCTTCCAACCAGATCTAACCGTCGCATCAGGTCGATGAGAGGGAACAATTCATGATGAATGCCTTGCGAACAGGATGCTAACTCCTGGGGGTGGGCTGGCGATAAGCTGGCAATGGGCTGGCAATGGGCTGGCAATAGTGCCATTGGCATGGCTATATACTTACGATCCTTTGAAAGCGTCATTGCAATTGCTATGGAAAATCACCATGGTGTAATATGGTTTATGAGATGTTATCATATTTGATAGGTACATCAGCTATAAATATGTAGGTTACCTCTGGGCCATTTGCCATAGAAAACGGCGGCTGGATCTATTCGTTTCCAACGCGGCGCAGGAAACATCCCAGCAGCTGTGGAGGCCCTTGGGTCGGCCGCAGCACGCTTTGTGCTGGCCCCCAGCAATGGAGAGCGCGAGATGCAGGTCCGGGGTCCTACAAAGCAGCACTGGCTGGTTGTTTTCGGGGTAAACCACCGAAAGTTGTTGATGATTGTTTCATCCAGTTGTACAGCAGCATACAGCCGCATTTCGGGTTTTTTGGGGATGTGAAACACATTGTCACTGACCCAAAGCCAATGGATGATTTTCCTCGGTGCGAACGCACAGCGGGAAAGCCTTCACCAGACCAGCGATTTTTATGAATGGAGTCAAGTCCCCAAATTTAGAAAGGTCATGCAAGGTTAGAAGTCGTCATCCTTTTCTCAGGGATTTGGGGGTCAACAGCCGCTGCTAGGAAGACTTCAAAAAGCTTGGCGTTCAGCCCATTGGTGAGACCTTGCTGGTCGCTTGACAAGGAATGGAGGTGGCTGATGAGGAGCAGTGGTTTAAAGTTTAAACCCTGGTCAACTGCAGCTACCAGAAGTGGGAGGTTGTCTCTATTTGGGAGGAAGTCCTGCAGTCCACGTGGCAACCGGTTAAAGAAGTGTAGGAAAGTTGACTCAAAAGAATCGGTTTCTGTGGATGTCCAAAAAACAGGAGTCTTTGGGCCTGGTTTTTGCAACTTGGCACATCTTGGTACATCTTGGGAGATCTAGCCACCGTCCCAAGGCGAAGACTCGGCAAAATGTGAAAAGGCCGGGCCTGGGATTCTGCCAGCCACATACAAGAAATGGACATCTTGTAACGCCGAAAAAGATACACATGAAGACACATGTACTGTAACAGTAGTGCATATAATACTCTATATATATGTACTAAATACATCTAAATACTATATAATTATATATATATATATTACGAAAGGCAGTCCGGAGGACTGACTCGTTGCTTTTTGCGACCGAAGGGAGAATAGGGGGTCTGGGGGCAGAGCCTCGTTTTCGGGCACGAAATCTCGCTGTACCCCTGCGCAGAGGGTGGTCCAGGGAAGCCGTTGTCAGGGTTATGTACCGTGTGGCAATTTGCTGACGGTGGGTATCGATTCCCCCCTGGTCCGTTGGGCGGGGTCGTTTTGGAGACTAGTTTCGGGGGAGTGTCTGAGTTAAGCGCCTTTATCATGATGGCGTAACCAGTGGCACATAATGGTATAAAATGTCCAATGAAATGACAAAGGATCTTGGGATGGTGGAAAGAATCGTCAATTTCTATTTGGCATTTGATCTGACATTCTATCTGGCAGTCTTTCTGACATTCTTTCTGACATTTTATCTGGCAGTCTATCTGGCATCCTACCTGGCATTCTTTGTGATATGGCCTATTTGCTGTTGCAAGCTCTTGTAGCGGCCAGATGATCACAGAGGTCGAGGGGTCGATTTGGTACAGATTTGGTGCAGATTTGGTGATGTTGGGATACCAAGGAATCTCTTTGGGTGATCAGTTGATCAAAAGAGGGAATGCTGCGTTGGGAAGCAAGAGGGATCACGCCTTTATCATGATGGCGTAACCAGTGGCACATAATGGTATATAATGTAAAATGTCCAATGAAATGACAAAGGATCCTGGGATGGTGGAAAGAATCGTCAATTTCTATTTGGCATTTGATCTGACATTCTATCTGGCAGTTTTTCTGACATTCTTTCTGACATTTTATCTGGCAGTCTATCTGGCATCCTACCTGGCATTCTTTGTGATATGGTCTATTTGCTGTTGCAAGCTCTTGTAGCGGCCAGATGATCACAGAGGTCGAGGGGTCGATTTGGTACAGATTTGGTGCAGATTTGGTGATGTTGGGATACCAAGGAATCTTTTTGGGCGATCAGTTGATCCAAAGAGGGAATGCTGCGTTGGGAAGCAAGAGGGATCACGCCTTTAGCACATAATGGTATATAATGTAAAATGTCCAATGAAATGACAAAGGATCCTGGGATGGTGGAAAGAATCGTCAATTTCTATTTGGCATTTGATCTGACATTCTATCTGGCAGTTTTTCTGACATTCTTTCTGACATTTTATCTGGCAGTCTATCTGGCATCCTACCTGGCATTCTTTGTGATATGGCCTATTTGCTGTTGCAAGCTCTTGTAGCGGCCAGATGATCACAGAGGTCGAGGGGTCGATTTGGTACAGATTTGGTGCAGATTTGGTGATGTTG